TAATAATTTGAGAGACATGAGTTTGTGTATTTACCTTAACACTATGTTCAGATGGGACAAATGGCAGTGGAAAGACAATGTCTCTTTGTCACACATTACATTTCTGTTACACACAGGGTTGGCTCATTCTGCATATTCCTGACGGTAAGACACATCACATGCTTTTTGTCATCTCCTCATTGGTTTCAGTTGTAGTGCATCACTCCATATTTACCGTTTCTAGCACACCGCTGGGTAAAGAACTGTAAGGAGCTGCTCCAGTCTTCCTTTAATTCTGCTCGATTTGACCAGCCACTGCAAGCCACAGAATGGTTACGCAACTTCAGGATTACCAATGAACCCTTCCTCACAAAGGTATCTTTTTGTAGTGTCTTCCTCTGTTACCTATGCAATATTGTTTTGTACATTTCTTATCAAATAATTGTTTTTCCAGATTAAGACAAAACACCGCTATGTGTGGACAAAGAGAGAGTTCACAGAGGAAGGAAGTTTGCTGGGAGAACTTGTGGATCAGGTGTGTTTTTTCAGTAAAGTCTTTGTCTTAGAATGATTTATACTGTTTTGTTTTTTTTACATGTTCCACATTTGTTGTTTGCTTGCCTTAGTTTGTGTTGTTTGTCTACCTTTTTTAGGGTATATCTCGTGTGAAAAGCAGCAGTGACGTTGTGGGTGCCGTCATGAAGGAGCTGAGGATACAGAGCGGTCAGTCTGACACAGCCTTCCGGTTGGTCGTGGCTGTGGATGGTGTCAATGCTCTCTGGGGACGGTCCACCATTAAAAAGGAAGACAAGACTACTGTGAGACTGAAATTAATATAGACTTAGTTAAAGGTGCACTATGTAACTTTTCTGGGGAAGGTGGAGCATAATAGGGCATTAACATATCTATCTAGCATACCTTTCATTAGTTGTTCAAAAATACATTGGAAAACATGTATTCATACTGTGAGTGGGCTCACCTCTCCACAGATCTGACCTGTAACTTGTCTATTAGTGGCACATGTTTGTCTCCATGGAGATTGAGGTTTAACACAACATTTTGTACCATCCCAAGTAAAGCAATACATCTTCATGGAGACAAGCAGGTGTCAGACCCTTCACCAAAAAAGTTACATACATGCACCTTTTAGCATATTTTTTCATACCTCACGAAGACTGAAAATGTTCATGTTTGTTAGGTGGATCCAGATGAGCTCACATTGATCCATAATGTAAGGAAACTAATGAAGAATGACTGGGTAAGTGAATCGTACAAATATTTATACCTGAGTTATAACCACATTAATAATATAGTTTTATTGTTTTTAGAACGGAGGAGCCATCATCACTACTTTGTCGCAGACTGGATCTCTCTACACTTCAAAATTATCATACAGACCTCAAGAACTGCTGGGACAGGTAAAGTCGATTAGATTTGTGACCAGCCAGTCTAAGCCACAGAATGATTACGGAACTTATTTTGACATTCATTAACATAATATTTAGAATTTTAAATCTTCAATGGTTAGGTTAGGGTTAAGTTGCTTTATAATAAGTAACTGTAGGTAAATTTATTTTGCAGATTTGAGAAGCTGGTCCCACATTTCACATTTCATTCATCCACATTATGCACAGTAAACACATATACAAAATTCAGCGTTCAGTGCTCCGGTGCAGAATGGTTTGTTCCATAAATAATGAAATTCATCCATCACACTTGGCTAAGATCACAACAAATATTAAAAAACACACGATTTTTCAAAGACGACGTACTAAAATTGATAAATAGATTACCATTTATTCATAAGGATAATAGCAGCTCGAACGAAACTCCTTTTAAAACGATTCGTTCTAGATCTAGGAAGACATTTGTTCCTCTCTGAGTGAGACACAATTTTTACAAAAGAAATTCTAAAAGGAAATGTTGAACCTAATTATATTTTGTGAGTCGACAAACTTGAGAATAATCTTGGCTCTTAAAAGTGCAATATATAACTTTTGTGGGACAGGATTCTTTATTTAGAATGTTACACAGAATGGCATTAAACTTACTTATTTAAATGGAGACAAGAAGGTGACATTAAATAGGTTACAGGTCAATCTGTAGGTGTGTATGTTTTCTGGAGTATTTTTGAGCAATACAAACACCAGAAATTCAATAAAAGATTCTAGATGTATTTATGTTAATGTTAATTGTTGTCATAAGTCACAATCTAAGTTTATATGCATTCACATTACTGTAATTGTTAATATATATATTTTTTAACACAGTACTGTTTTTGTTCCTAAACAGAGAGGATTTGACTGCATGGATCCTTTTATCCCTGTGTCTGTGTCCAACTACAGCGAGAAAGAGTTTGAGAGCTGCTACCTTTATTATATCGACCGCCACTGGCTGCAACATCCGCAAAGTACTTCAGTTTTGTATCATATTTGCATTTCACATATTCACATTCACAAAGTCTAATTTACTCATAGCCTATTTCTTTTATGTGTGTTCAAAAGGTCATACAGAAGAAGGGAAGAAAGAGCTGGTCTTTTTGAGCAACAGAAATCCATGGATGTTGGACAAAGTTTGTGCCTTCTTGTAGTGTCAACAATAGGTTTCAGAGTGATTGTAAATAACGATCATTACCATCAAAATCGACAATTCTGAACACATTATTCTATCACTTGAATGGTCCTCAACTAGGTGGCCATGCAGGAACTGAAACCTATGAATAAATAAATATACATGTAAAACCGCAGATGTTCATGCACTGTACATTAAAATACTGTAAAGTTGTCTTTGTAAATAAATGTGTGTGCTTCTTTCATATTAAAATTGTTTACATAATTTGTTTTTCCCTTTTGGTACAGTGATTTTTAATTGAAATTTGACTATATTATTATCAAATATTTTATTAGCTCTGTCATATTTGAATAATTACGACCCCTGAGGCCATAGCAATGTTTAACCTTTCCCCTAATGTACTAAAATTATCCCCTAAGGGCAATTTTAGTACATTTGTCTTCGCTTGAATAATTTTTTCAAATTCTGTCATTTTAACTCTCCCTTTTACCCTCAATGAAGTGTTATACAGCCTTTATTTTCAGTACAACCTGAACTGTTCAACTGAACAACTGAAGAAGCAGCTTGGATGTGCTGCAAAATGTATTCAACCAAATAATGTTTTGTCCAGTTGACAAATTGAATTTCTCCTTTTGCCATATTTGTGATAATCTTAATTACAGTTTGAGGATGCTCTGACCACAGTGACCACACCCTCTGTCATCTGCACTGGTCCTCTCTCACCAGCAGTTTGTGTTTGTGTTTGAGCTCAGACTCAGGTTAAACCAACATGAGCAGGTGATGAGACAAGATTAAGAAGGACAGAAAGGGTCAGCTGCAGCATTCGCAACTGAACATGAATAGAAAATATATTTGCCTATGAGATTAATTTTAGTAAAATCTCAAGGGGTAAACAGATGGGGTAAACGTGTGCAAATCAAATATAGCTTTTACTTGCTCTCATTTGGTTGCCAATTTCAATCAGTTTGCTGAAATCCAGTTGGTTTAAACTTTAAATCTAAAATGACCCTCTGTGAGTGAATTCTGGAGGTTCTGAGCTTCCATATGAGGCCCGTCCATATACTGAACATGAGAAAAACTTGTGTCCTCTAAAGACAGGTTAAAGATGTACTATGTAACTTTTCTGATGAGGATCTGTGTCTTTTTCCATGGAGAAGTCAGAGCTTTCCTGTTCCACAACATGGCATTCATTTGATCTCCTTTTTATTTTATTTTTTTTTAAAGTTTAATGTCATATTGGAGAAGATGCCAGGAAAATAAGATCCCTATGGCACCAGAAAAGTTATATGCTGCACTTTTATTTGTTTTACTTTATTTTTAGTACCATCTGGTGGACGAATAGTAATAGTGCAATTGTATTCACATGACTAAACCAGATCACGTGACTGTCAGAGTTTCATTTGCCAAAACAGACTGCGTGGGGAAAGTAGCCAGACTGCTCAAAAACAGCTCAGAAAATGCCTCTGTTTATACTCGGGACATGACCAAACATCTGCTGAACACCTCTCGGGTAAGAATTCATTTTTGTGCAGTGTTTGTGCTGGTTAAATAATAAAATCCGATGGTGTCAGCTAAACTTCACCACAAACATCCTGCATGTAAGGTTATGGTCAGACATTAACATAGTAGGTTTACTTGCTCTGTGAATTACCAAACATTTAACTTTCATTCTTCTTACAGGTAAAATGGCTTTGTCATGGGCACCTGCCATTGTAGCGCTCTACTTCCTGTGTACACCTGTGATAACAGGTAATGATAAAGAAACAGGTGGATACAGTGGCCACAAATGTACTTAAAATGCTTGAAAATAATAAGATTTAAGAAGAAATACTAAATAAGTAATGGTACAAGAAATTAAACAAAAAGAGTTAAAGAGGAAACTACTACTCATGAAAGTAAGAGTAGCAAGTAGTAGAGTGTACGCTCATGTAACATTTGATTTATGATTTTTAATTACTATAATTGGAACAAATCATTAAATGATGCAGACAATCTGTGATGTTAAAGGATAACTAGACAAAACAAAATAATATCTGAAGGAGCAGTCATTATTTAATATTGTTAACATAAAGCTTTTGTCACTTGTAGACTTATTAACAGTGGGGGAGCACTCTGAGAAATACAATTTTTCTAAAAAAGTTACTTAACTGTGTAAAGTTACTTGAGTAAATGTAATGGACTATTATCCACCACTGTAAAAAAAACAACAAAACATTACGCTGTCATAGGTCTTATGTTGTACTTTTTATTTACACATAGGTAATACACAACTTATTTATGTTTAATTGTATTTATTTGTATTCATTTATTTTGTGTATTTATTTATTATAGTAAATTTGACATCATCTGTGCTTTAATTGTCCCTCTCTAGAAACCACCAAATGTGTTCCCAAGGACTTCGGTCATGGCTCTGTGGTGTGTGTTTGCAATGCCACATATTGTGATGATATGAGTTTAATAGCCCTCCCTCCGGTGGGAAAATACATGTCCTACCTGAGTAACATGATGGGCATCAGATTTGAGGTGGGACATGGAACGTTTGGGAAGAACAGCACAGGGTCAGGTAAAGTTACCCACTGTTAAGGTTCTGTGTATCAGTTACACCAAAATCCTTCAATAAATGTTATGTCTCCTTTAGGTGTCAGGATAACCATCAATCGCAGTCAGAAATATCAGAAGATCAGAGGTTTTGGAGGAGCTATGACGGATGCTGCAGCTATCAACATAATGTCGCTCTCCTCTGGGACTCAGGACCAGCTCCTGAGACAGTATTTCTCCTCTGACGGTATGTGTCCTTGGTTTATGCATCAACTAAAATCTATTGTTTTGCTCCAGGTATGGACGATTTCAAGTTTTTTCCTCCTTTTAACTTAATTTGATTTATTAAAATGATGATGAAATGATATTTGGTGAATGAGAGAAACAGAGAACTTACACAATTTGTATTTTTTGTAAAACAGCCTGAAGCTCGTCATTAATGATTTGAAATTGAAAAGTGTATATTGTTTTGATTAATATTAAGAAACTGCCTATCCCTATTTGACATACATAAAGCATTTAATTTTTATATTTTATATTTCCTTGAACCGTCACCTTATCGTGGTGGAGGGGTTTGAGTGCCCGAATGATCCCGGGAGCTATGTTGTCGGGGGCTTCATGCCCCTGGTAGGGTCACCCAAGGCAAACAGGTCCGGGGGGACGGGTCAGACGAAGAACGGTTCAGAAGCCCCTATGATGAGTGTACGAGCAAGGCCAGTTACGTCGCCCGGATTGGCGTCACCGGGGCCTCACCCTGGAGCCAGGCCTGGGGTGGGTGCTCGCCAGCGAGCGCCTGGTGGCCGAGCCTCCCCCCACGGGGCTCAGCCCGAAGGAGCGACGTGGGGCCGTCCTCACGTGGGCCCACCACCCGCAGGAGGATCCATATGGGGCCGGTGCAGAGAGATCTGGGCAGCAGTCGACGGCGGGGGCCTCGGCGACCGGATCTCCGGACATGGAGACTAGCTCTGGGGACATGGAATGTCACCTCGCTGGGGGGTAAGGAGCCTGAGCTTGTGCGGGAGGTTGAGCGTTACCGACTAGATATAGTCGGCCTCACCTCCACGCACAGTTTGGGCTCTGGAACCCAACTCCTTGAGAGGGGCTGGACTCTCCATTTCTCTGGCGTTGGCCGCGGGGAGCGGCGGCGGGCTGGTGTGGGCCTGCTCATTGCCCCACAGCTCAGTCGCTGTGTGTTGGAGTTCACCCCGGTGAACGAGAGGGTCGCGTCCCTGCGCCTTCGGGTCGGGGACAGGTCTCTCACTGTGGTGTCGGCCTACGGGCCGAACAGCAGTGCAGAGTACCCGGCCTTCTTGGAGTCCTTGGGAGGGGTACTAGACAGTGCACCGACCGGGGACTCCGTTGTTCTCCTGGGGGACTTCAACGCCCACGTGGGCAACGACAGTGACACTTGGAGAGGGGTGATTGGGAGGAACGGCCTCCCCGATCTGAACCCGAGTGGTGTTTTGTTATTGGACTTCTGTGCTAGTCACAGTTTGTCCATAACAAAACACCATGTTCGAGCACAAGGGTGTCCATAAGTGCACGTGGCACCAGGACACCCTAGGCCGGAGGTCGATGATCGACTTTGTCGTCGTGTCATCTGATCTCCGGCCGCGTGTCTTGGACACTCGGGTGAAGAGAGGGGCTGAGCTGTCAACTGATCACCACCTGGTCGTGAGTTGGGTTCGCTGGCGGAGGAGGAAGCCGGAAAGACCTGGCAGGCCCAAGCGTGTAGTGAGGGTCTGTTGGGAACGTCTGGCGGAGCCCTCTGTCAGAGGGACCTTCAACTCGCACCTCCGGGAGGACTTCTCCCGGATTCCGGGGGAGGCTGGAGATATGGAGTCCGAGTGGGCTTCATTCTCGGCCTCTATTGTCAATGCAGCTGCTCGGAGCTGTGGGCGTAAGGTCTGTGGTGCCTGTCGCGGCGGCAACCCCAGAACCCGGTGGTGGACACCGGAAGTAAGGGATGCTGTCAAGCTGAAGAAGGAGTCCTATCGGGCCTTGCTGGCTCGGGGGACTCCTGAGGCAGCTGACAGGTACCGGCGGGCCAAGCGTGCTGCAGCCCGTGTGGTCGCGGAGGCAAAAACTCGGAGCTGGGAGGAGTTCGGGGAGGCCATGGAGAAGGACTATCGGACGGCCTCAAAGAGATTCTGGCAAACCGTCCGGCGCCTCAGGAGGGGGAAGCAGTTCTTCACCAACACTGTTTACAGTGCGGGGGGAGAGCTGCTTGACCTCGACTGGGGACGTTGTCCGGCGGTGGAAGGAATACTTTGAGGATCTCCTCAATCCCACCGTCACGTCCTCCGAGGAGGAGGCCGAGGCTGGGGACTCGGAGGCGGACTCATCCATCACCCTGGCCGAAGTCACTGAGGTGGTTGGCAAGCTCCTTGGTGGCAAGGCTCCGGGGTTGGATGAGATCCGTCCTGAGTACCTGAAGTCTCTGGATGTTGTGGGGCTGTCTTGGCTGACACGCCTCTTCAACATCGCGTGGCGGTCGGGGACAGTACCTCTGGACTGGCAAACCGGGGTGGTGGTCCCTCTGTATAAGAAGGGGGACCGGAGGGTGTGTTCCAACTATAGGGGATCACACTTCTCAGCCTTCCCGGTAAGGTCTATGCCAGGGTACTGGAGAGGAGAATCCGGCCGATAGTCGAACCTCGGATTCAGGAGGAGCAGTGTGGTTTTCGTCCTGGCCGTGGAACACTGGACCAGCTCTACACTCTCCATAGGGTGCTCGAGGGTTCATGGGAGTTTGCCCAACCAGTCCACATGTGTTTTGTGGATCTGGAGAAGGCATTCGACCGTGTCCCTCGTGGTGTCCTGTGGGGGGTGCTCTGGGAGTATGGGGTCCGGGGCCCTTTGCTAAGGGCTGTCCGGTCCCTGTATGACCGGAGCAGGAGCTGTGTTCGCATTGCCGGCAGTAAGTCAGACCTGTTCCCGGTGCATGTTGGACTCCGCCAGGGCTGCCCTTTGTCACCGGTTCTGTTCATTGTATTTATGGACAGAATTTCTAGGCGCAGTCAGGGGCCGGAGGGGTCCGGTTTGGGGACCACAGGATTTCATCTCTGCTGTTTGCGGACGATGTTGTCCTGTTGGCTTCATCGAACCAGGACCTGCAATGTGCACTGGGGCGGTTTGCAGCCGAGTGTGAAGCGGCTGGGATGAGGATCAGCTCTTCCAAGTCCGAGGCCATGGTTCTCGACCGGAAAAAGGTGGCTTGCCCTCTCCGGGTGGGTGGGGAGTCTTTGCCTCAAGTGGAGGAGTTCAAGTATCTCGGGGTCTTGTTCACGAGTGAGGGAAGGACGGAACGTGAGATTGACAGGCGGATCGGTGCAGCTTCGGCAGTGATGCGGTCGCTGTATCGGACCGTTGTGGTGAAGAGGGAGCTGAGTCGAAAGGCGAAGCTCTCGATTTACCGGTCAGTCTTCGTTCCTACTCTCACCTATGGTCATGAGCTCTGGGTAGTGACCGAAAGGACGAGATCGCGGATACAAGCGCTCGAAATGAGTTTCCTCCGCAGGGTGGCTGGGCGCTCCCTTAGAGATAGGGTGAGGAGCTCAGTCACACGGGAGGAGCTCGGAGTAGAGCCGCTGCTCCTCCACGTCGAGAGGAGCCAGTTGAGGTGGCTCGGGCATCTGTTCCGGATGCCTCCTGGGCGCCTCCCTCGGGAGGTGTTCCGGGCATGTCCCGCCGGGAGGAGGCCCCGGGGAAGACCCAGGACACGCTGGAGGGACTATGTCTCTCGGCTGGCCTGGGAACGCCTCGGGGTCCCCTGGAGGAGCTGGAGGACGTGTCTGGGGTGAAGGAAGTCTGGGAGTCCCTGCTTAGGCTGCTCCCCCCGCGACCCGGCCCCGGATAAGCGGACGAAAATGGATGGATGGATGGATGGATGGATTTCAGTAACTGTTGATTATTTTTTGCCTTACTTTCTTGTCCTCGTACAGGAATTGGCTACAGCGTGGTGCGTGTTCCCATGGCGAGCTGTGACTTCTCTACTCGTTTGTACACTTACGCTGACACGCCTGAAGACTACAACCTCGACCACTTCACCCTGGCTCCAGAGGACACTCAGAGAAAGGTTTGTGGAGTCCCCCCTTCATTTTAACATTTATAGATTTCCGAAAATCTCCCATAGAAATTTCAGTTTGGAAATGATGGGAATTTCCAAAATAAAAAACTGGTAAAACAACAGTCACGCCTTGATTGTAAAATGGTAAGCACTTTTTGCATTGCTTATAAAACGATTTCATAAGTAGAGAAGAGAAGACATTGAACTTTGTGCCCGTTCATGTGGATATACAGTAAAAAGACGCTGTATATAAACCATAAACCAGATCAAAACATCTGCACTATAACAGATATTGTTGTATGTAACCGTCTTCTCTTCTTGTCAGATCCCTCTGTTACTGAAAGCCCAGAGCATGTCCCCAAAACCCCTCTCTCTGCTGGCCAGTGCATGGAGCGCCCCCACCTGGATGAAAACCAATGGTGCCCTTATTGGAAAAGGCTCTTTAAAGGGGAAGCCTGGGGGCAAAGAGCATAAGACCTGGGCACAGTATTATATCCGGTGAGCAAGAGTGAATTTACTCTTTGAAGTCACAGCAGGCATGTGAAATTACTTGTTTCTAAATGTACTTGTTTCTAGGTTTTTTGAGGAATATGCAAAATACAACTTGACTTTCTGGGCTTTGACCACAGGAAATGAGCCCAGTGCAGGGAAAATGACAAACTACAGGTATCCTCGAATTTAAATATTTGACATTAAAGTTAGATAAATGGTGCAGTGTTTCTACCATGATCCTTTCAATAATAATATAACATGTATTCCTATATGCTTAGAATTACATAAGTGATAGTTAGATAGGGGCTTTTTCTCATCATATTCTAGGCAAGGCAAGGCAAGGCAAGTTTATTTGTATAGCACAATTCGTACACAAAGTAATTCAAAGTGCTTTACAGAATAAGAAATACATTAAAATCATAATAAAAACAAAACATAAAAAATCATGAAGATTAAAATTAAAAAAGAGAGACATAAATTGGAGAGAAGAGTGCGGAATGAAAACCTTTCAGTTATATGCACAGTTAAACAGAAATGTTTTGAGCCTGGATTTAAACAGCGTCACAGAAGAGTCTGTCTCACATGTTCAGGAAGACTGTTCCAGGTTTTAGCTGCATGAACCTGAAACGCTGACTCCCCTTGTTTAGTCCTGACTCTGGGCACCAGCAGGAGGCCGGTCCCTGAGCTCCTCAGAGTGCGAGATGGTTCATATGACACTAACATGTCACAGATGTACTTTGGTGCTCGGCCATGGAGAGACTTGTACACAAGCAGAGCTGCTTTAAAGTCTCTGAGGCACAGGAAGCCAGTGCAGAGACCTGAGCACAGGACTTATGTGCTCGTACTTCCTAGTTCGAGTAAGGACCCGAGCTGCAGCGTTCTGGATGTTCTGCAGTGTCTCACAGCTCGTTTTGAGAGACCAGTGAGCAGAACATTACAGTAGTCTAATCTACTGGAGACAAACGCATGGATAAGTTTCTCCAAGTCTGCTTTAGACAGTAAATCTTTGATTTTTGCTATGTTTTTTAGATGGTAAAAGGCTGCAGATGTTATTGATTTGATGTGGCTGTTAAAGTTCAAGTCTGAGTCCATTATTACCCCTAGATTTCTTGCCTGATTTGAAGGTTTTAGAGAGAGAGACTGGAGGTGACTGCTGACACTGTCCCTTTGTTTCTGTGGACCAAACACTATGACTTCAGTCTTGTCAGAGTTTAGCTGGAGAAAGTTGTTTTGCATCCACACACTGATCTGTTGGATGCAGTGGCAGAGTGAGTCCACTGGTCCATAGTCTCCTGCTGCCAGAGAGACGTAGATCTGAGTGTCGTCTGCATAATTGTGGTAGGACACATTATTGCTGCTTATTAACTGGCCTAATGGCAGCATGTAGAGATTGAACAACAGGGGGCCCAGGATTGACCCCTGAGGCACCCCACAGGTCAGGGCCATGTGATCTGAGACACAGTTTCCAATTTCAACAAAATACTTCCTGTCTTCTAGATAGGACTTGAACCAGTTTAGTACAGTACCAGAGATGCCCACCCAGTCTACAGCTTTTAGTACATGCACAAAAAGAAGCAAACAGCATCAGGTTAAATCAATTTATCTTGGAATAAAATTAGACTAAGGAGGTGACTCCACTGTTTGTGCAGTTTCCAGGCTCTGGGGTTCACCCCCGAGGAGCAGAGGGACTGGGTGGCTCTGGACCTGGGCCCAGCGCTCCAGTCCTCTCAGTTTAAACACACTCATGTCCTGATCCTTGATGATAATCGACTGCTGCTGCCGCACTGGGCCAAAGTGGTGAGTCAAGGACGTGATGAAGAGGGAACAGCCCTGTGTTATTATGTTTTTAGATTCTGAAGACATGTTCATTCCATTATAAAGTATAAAGTAAAGAAAATGTTACAGCTACATAGCTGTAACATTTTCTTAAATATTAAGGTCTAATTTTGAAATACTTGTCATGATATTTTATACCTGTTTTACTAGTAGTAGTAGTTTAAAACTGTTGTATTCCTTTTTATAGTTTGGGTGCTACTTATAAAACAGTATATTTTCTTAGATGGTGTTTTGTTTGAAAACAGCTGCAGGATAAAACTGTTACTCATTAAATGAGTAATAATTGTTTTTTTTAGGTGTTGAGCGATGTGCATGCTGGCAGGTACATTCACGGAGTGGCAGTTCATTGGTACTTCGATCACTTTGTCCCACCTGAGTTTAGCCTGGGGACCACCCACCACCTCTACCCTGAGTATTACCTGTTTGGGACAGAGGCCTGCGCCGGCTGGAGTCCACTGGACCGAGGGGTGAAACTGGGGAGCTGGGACAGGGCTGAACAATACGCACATGACATTCTTCAGGTGACTATTTTGAACTCATTTTGTTTTGTGTGATGTAACCTTAATCCTTTAACATTTAATCTAACTTTAAAGGTACTAAATTATGTTACGTCAGTTCCCTCATCGCAACATTGTGGGAGCTTTAAGCCATGTTAGAATGTTGCGACTTCCTCAACACCTAGAGTTGTTTTGTTTCATTCACTTGTAACACACAAATCCTCCTTATTTAGTTCTTCTCTCAAATAGAAACCACTGTTCCACCTTTTGGTATCATGTGATAATACAGGAAGTGTTTCACTGTGTTTTTAAACTCCATACACATTCACTCGACTTATTTGATGATATCAGCTCTGGTTGTTAATCTCGTAAACACATATGGTGTTTGACTTGTCATAATGTCTCAATTTAGCTACAAGTCTCACATTACACTGCTTTTTTTTTTTTTTTCCTTATAATCTGTTTTTTTGCAACACATGTGTAAAACTTGTGTAATCCCTCAGTCGTCCAGGTAGGTTCCAAAGCTAAAGAAGCCAAGTGAATGAGCGATGAAACTCTAAAGCTTTTGTTCAGTTGACAGAATTGAATTTGTACATATAGTCAATCCCAAGTTTGCATATTTTAAAACAACACTTTTGATGTTATCTTGTAGAGTAGATGACATATCACCCACCCCTACTACTACTGTATACATGCCACAAAAGCAAGCTGAAACAGGTCCTTTGTCTCCTGCCTGCCTCTTTATAAGGGAAATGAGACTCCCTCTGTTCATTTTACATGTACTGTATGCATTCAGGCCTTTCCTCTTAGGAGGCAAATGCTTTTCCAGTTTAGGCATGCTAGCACACACCAAATTGTGACTAAACCTGGGCTAGACTTGGATTAAATTAAGCCTACATAAGGACTCTGTGTGTTCTCACATCTTTTGGTCCTGGTTTGGCCTTGGTTTTGGCCTAGTCGAGTCCTGATGTAGACCTGGTTTGGTCTAGTTGTAGTCTTCATTTAGCGTGTGGGCATCAAAACTAGACTAAATCCGGAGCAAAACCTGGACTAGACCAGGACAAGAACAGCACTAAACCAAGTCAACATCGAGATTAAATTGGGCTCATACATGGTCCAAACCAGGACAAGTGTGAATGCAGTCTTGGATTACATTTAGATATTACCTGAAATATTACTAAAGATTGACAATGGATCATATCTCTGGAACATAGATGAAATTGAAAATATGTGTTTGCTACAGGATTTAAATCATTATGTGGAGGGTTGGACCGACTGGAACTTGGCTTTAGACCAGACTGGAGGACCAAACTGGGTTAAAAACTTTGTGGACAGCCCTATTATAGTGGATGCGCAGAATGACATCTTCTACAAACAACCAATGTTTTACGCCATGGCTCATTTCAGGTATCAGCATTGTTTTCATGGAGCTCTTTCATCTCAGCTGGACGCCTTATGTTGAAATTATTTATTCATTTGAAACAGCTCGTTTCTGTGGAGAGGGTCTCAGAGAGTGGGAGTATCTGCCAGTTTCAAAACAGAGCTTGAATACACAGTTTTTATCAGGCCAGACGGAGCAGTGGTGCTACTTATATTAAACAGGTAAGTCATTATAATTTCTAGTGTTAATGCATTTGCCTTTTTGGACAAAGTTGCTTTTTATTGCGCTAATTCATTCACTCTCCACATGTCATCAATACCGAAAAAACATCAAAACATTTATACTAGAATAATTTATACTAGAACTAGTACTGAAAGTGGATCCTTATTTGAGTAATATGACCACATCATCTGTTTTGATAATTATATTATACTGAGCACCATGCACCACAGAAGACACTGCATTAAAGCTGAACCGTTAACCGCTCATCACTATTCTCAGTACTCTCAAATTCCCTTTTTAGTTGTACGCCGGGTGATTGGACAGTAACATCAGCAGTTCTCTGATTTTCAGTTTTCATAATCATCAATTTGTCTGAACATACACAGACTTAAGACACAGACTTAACTTAATACTGGCTCCACAGACTCAGAAGGAACACTGTATTTAATAAAAAATGCCTGATTTGTCTATCTGATGTCTTATCTTGTCCAGGTCCTCAGCTGAGATAAAGTTTGAGGTTTGGGATCCTGAGGTTGGCTACTTTACCTCCACTGCTCCAGCCCGCTCCTTACTCACTTTTGCTTGGAACACACTATGAAGACAAAATAAATTACACTTATTTCTATTTAAAGCATTAGTTAGGGGTGGGAGATATGCCAATAATCCTGTAAATTTTTTACATTTGAATACAATTCATACATACTTTACTTTCTAGTTTAAAAATATCTAAACTAAAGCAATTTGCATCCACTTGTCACTCACTCAGGGATTTTGGAGATTAACCAAAAGGGAAAACCAATGAATCCTGATTTCAAACACCTAATTAGAAGATCCATTGGCAGAGTGTCCCATCACAAATCACATTGTTATATCACTCACCTCTCGCCTTAAAGACTGCACTTTTTAACTATTCTGTGAAATATTTCAAGTAGTTGCAATATCAAGATTAATGCAAAACTGAGATGTATGGTCCACACTTTTCATGTTTACATATGCAATAAACTCATGATTTGATGGCCTTTTATGTTTCTGTATTTAGCAGTAAGGTGCTTTTGTTTGGAAGCATACATGATATGCAATCTTATAACATTTTTGCAATTTATTATTACATCATAGACATTTTCATATATTTAATATACAGTTTAATAACCAGTTAATTCACATTTGCGTCTCCATTCTTAAAGTTTTCTTTGCAAATCATAGTTGTTTTCCTAATTGTTTTTATATTAAAAAAGTGATAAAAATGTTAAACAAAAACAGTGATAAACAAAGGAATAGAGCTAACAGAGGGATGACGTCATATTTACACAAGGAAATCAGTTTCAGCGGTCAATAATGGGCGCGTTCCACACGCTTTAAGGACAAAAAATCATAAACTCTCGCCATGACACTTGTATGTCAAAAATCTTAAAACAAGTCCTTTGATTTTATTTGATTTCATTTTCAGAAATCAAAACAATGGTAATGAAAGAAGAATCCAGTGTAAAACGATTATTAATGACCGTTTCTGAACAGTTTGCTTTGATTTTTACATCCTTTGTAAACATGGCATGTATTGGCTTCACTTAATTATGTCTGCTGAAAAGGAAAAAAAAGTCAAATTTCCCATTACAATATCTTGTACTGAATCTGGAGCACATAATGCAAATCATGATAAGTCTTTGTATTGAAGCAGTGCATTTCAAGTGGCACAGAGGGAGACCTTAGAGATGTCCAGTTGAAAATGTGTTTTATCCTGTTCAATTCTAATGAAAGAGGCATAGAGCAGATCATACTCTGCCTTACTAGGGATCTGTAAATGGGTGTTAAAAATATGTAAAAGTATAAACAAAAAATTATGAGACCAAGTTGGTGATTCTGTAGGAGGTGGATAGAACAGTGAGATGTATTTTCTCTGCTGGATGCTGGAGGTGAGGATGGGATGGAGAAATGGGGGAGGGGTGTCTCAAAAGGACCACCTCTCCTGTGTGCGGGGGTCCGTGGACTGGGAGGGGGGCTCTGAGGGGGACTGGCTGCTGCTGTCGTCTCCATTCAAACTCTTCCTACAAACTGGACATGTGTCATGCTGTATGAGGAAACAGAACAGCATTTAGAAGTGAGGAGATGTCAATGTGATTCACAAAGTAGATTATACAATTGATACTTTGACATCATGCTGGGGGTGTTTGACATGTATCTCTGTGGTGGGAGTTACCAGGGTGATACAAGATTAGCAAACACTGATGAAAAATGTTTAAGATAGTCTGAAAACTCTTGAAAAAACACTAAATTTAAACGGCACATTTTCAGGAGCAGTTATTTTCACCAAAAAGTGAGCGTGACAGAAAAACTGTTGTCTATTTCTGGTCAGATTGTGTTAAAATAACGATCAGATTAAAGTCTAACAAAGCCTCAGACAGCATCACACCCCCAGCAAATGTGGATGACATCAGGTACAAAGTATCAATACAATTTTAAGTTACTGTTTTGTTTCTTACCATTTCCAGCCATGGTACTATGCAGTCTGAATGAAAAAAGTGGTTACAGGGCAGCTGTCTGACGGGCTCTCCTAATGCAAAGTCCTCTTTGCACACCGGGCATTCCATACAGCAATCTGCACACAGAACATAAATGGGTTTCTTAAAATGCGGGGTACTGAACTTTATTCTTGTAAATGAGTAAATGTCTTTTCCCCATAGAGAAAAATGTTAAAGCAGCATTTGAGTTTTGGCGGTCCACCCCACCCAACTTTAACATATGAAAAAGATTGTTATAAAGCAAAATTTCAACAAGTTTGAAAATCGGGTAATGTTGCTTTAATTAAAAAAAAAAGAAAGACAAAACCGTGGTTGGTGTCTGCGCCAAGAGCCTCTCTGACCACCACCAATCACCCACACAAACATTCACACATAAACAATACGGATGCCTAAGGACACGGCAAAACTATGGACGGGCTGAAGCTAAAATGGAACCACCAACCTTCCACTTAAAAAACTGCCACTGTCCCCCATTGTAATAATACGCAACATTTAAAAACTATATTAGTCAAACAGCATTTACACAACTCCAACATACAAAGCAAGAAACAAATGTGAAAACAGTGAACAAAAGAACTAGAGATGCACTGATACTGATACTGGTATTGGATATCAGCACCAATAATGAAAAATTTGCTGGAAGGGGTATCAGTTCCAGGTATTGTTCAATCAATATACTGGCTGGGACTTTATTTGGTTGTAATAAGACTATTTACAGGATGATTTTGGCCTGAACTGGTCTCATATAGTTAGAACTTTTATTCATACAAAACTGTTCACTGTTCATTTGGAGGATAAATAAAACATAAAACTATTGGGTCTCATGTGTAATAAGTTAACTGTGTTTTAAATGTAATTTTCCCCTCCCTACACTGGTATCGGTCAACATCGGGTATTGGCAGATACTTAAAGATAAAGTATCAATATCGGTATCGGAACTGAAAAAGCTGCATTTGTGCATCCCTACAAACAGTAGAACCCTTGACCACAGCTGATAAATGGAGAACTCTGACCTGCTTGTTCCTGAGTTATGTTGACTGTTGGGAGAGATGAGATCTTCTCTCTCTCTGCTGGTGGAGGGCCAGTGTTTTCCAACTGACCTAGTAACTACACACACGAGGCAGACAAATGCATTAACAAATGTGTCTGTAGTCAAACATCAGTAAAGTCATTCACCTGTGTTATAACTGCATCTAACCCTCCTTGTCCCCAGGCGTAGTCCCCTGGATTAGAATGCAGCATCCCTGTCCTGTAAGAACAACAACATCAATATTTAAAAAGAAGATCATTTTATATGAGAATGGTGGTATCAGCTAAACATTCTCTTACCATGACAGAGGAGATGAACCAGGAACCCCAGAATTTGCAAACAGACCAGCAAGAAACTGCTGAACAATGCTGTAGAATGAGTCAAAGATAATGAGAAATTAAGTTAAAAGTAAAAATGGTATGAGATAGTTCATTTTAATGCCATAATGTGCGACTTTCCAGTAAAAGCAATATCATCTCTATGGAGACAAGCAGGTGGTGGACTTTCCATCAGAAATGTTGCATAGTGCATTTTCAAAACATTGACTCACCCTTCTACTGCTGGTGAGCGGTCTGGCCGGCTGCTCCCTCTGGACCTGTATCTCCTCTGACTCTGCACGCGATGGGAACGTGTGCCCCAGTGATCTGCAGACCCCAGCAGTCCCCCCATAGGCCCCCCAAGACCAGCTGGGACTGACCCCCCAAAAGGTCCTGTCCCCAACCCACCGAGGTCACCAAGCGCGCCCAGACGTCCCCCTGGTAACCGTGGCTCTGAGTCCGGGCTGTCGCTGTCTGTCGTGAAGGGGCGCTCCACCAACAGCAGATGCCACAGCTACAGCAGCAAAGGGAGGACAGGTAAATATGTAATACCTACTGATAGTGCAGATAGCTGAAACAATACATAGGTATGAATATATTTAACTATATTTAACTAAACTAAATAACAGAATCATTTTGTTGCACATTTGGGAATGATTTTCAGAGATAGCACCAGTGTGCTGCATTAAATTCTGAAGCACCCTGTGGCTCCATGAATTGGCAGAAGCAAGATGGAAATCACTGTTCATTCAAGGTCTATACATTATGAATCTGAGATGTCTCTTGCTGAAAGCTACTGGGAAAAGGCAAAACTTTCAGGCAAATAGTTCAGGCTGATTAGGCAAAACAGAGACATAAGTCCAACTGAGAGAAAAGTACAGGCATCTTTTTTTGTCGAGAAATGCTCTAAATTGCTTCCCTCTGTGAGTCTTCTACAAACAAAACAGCCCATATTTCTACTTTCAAATTTGCCTATTTACGTTCACCAGAGTCACCATGTTTGTTTTGGCAGCACAGCCCTGTACAAGGTAAGTTTCTCTTAGCTCTACAAATAAAATATGTGAAAAATTGTGAAAAGTACAGGACCATTTTGGTAAATAATTGGTAATGGCCAAGTTTTCAAATGCCCCAATTCCCCAATATAAATATCTAACAAACCATACCTCTGCAAACTGTGAGGCTGTATCATCTACACCATTCGCACCACTGTCCAGGAGGCTGAGGAAAATAGATGGAGATTAGTAAGGTTATTATAACAGTATTATAACATTATTCCAATCTAAGATGTTTGGAGAATAACAGCTTTTACCTGGAGTCTTCTGTTACTTCCTCTATAAAACCAGAATCACATCTTGGACAAATGAATTCCTAGAAGGACATGGATCAAAGAGATGTCATGAATACCTCACAGTCACATAAAAAAGTTCTATGTTGTATGTTCTTAGACATAGGCATGGGTAACTGATAATTGCTCCACATTGCAGTCAGACTATTAATCATTTGTCCAGGATAATATTAGTAACAATTGTAAGACAGTGTTATGAATGTAACTTGGGAGGTAGAGCTGGTCTGCCAACCACACCTTTGACTGTGCAGTTTTAACACAGACTTAGGAAAACACCCAGAGCCAGCATGTTGTAGCACCCATACACATGTGTCAACATTCAGAATTTTTTTTATTAAATAAGCATAATTAACTCCCAACCAGCCACATACCAATAAAACTCAAATTACTTCAGTTATTAAATGTCTTTAGGTCTTAAAATGGTATTTTGTTTCAGCGTATAGGTCCAATAATTCCCCGTATTTATTTGTTTGCAATGACTACTTAAAACTGAAACTGAAATTACAGCGCTCCACAAAATCCCCTGGATATTTTACTTTAAACCTTGGCTGGTCAAGAATTTAAAAACGAAAGCAAAATGTCTTTTAATCTGACCAAATTTTTAATTATGGCCCGGCTATTGTCATATAATTAAAAATCAGCTGTTCGGGCTGTTTTGGACATTACATCTGAGGCTGTCAAAGCTAAAAACATAAAAAAATATACTCGATATCTACACACACAAGCCTCACAAGACCTGGAAATATGTTGTGCATCAGTGTCGAAAACATTCACGCTTGTCATGGGTTTATTTAGAGAGTTGACAACAACAAACGCTGTAAATGCTAACAGGGCTAGCTTCGATTTAGCCGTAGCAAGCTAGCAAAACAAATGCTTTTACAAAGAAATAGGCTCTGACAGCAGCTTGATCATCGACGGAATTTGTAAAACACACAAAAACAAAAGAGGACAGCTCACCGGGAGTTTAGGATTCACTTCCCCTTTACAACAGTGACAGAAAAACCGATGCGGGGGAACAGCCGCGGCCTCCGCCATCTTTCTCCTCTCCAGGGCGAGCTCCGACAGCACAAACAGCGGACTGATGGGAGCGCAGAGCGGGGAGAGGAGCCCGGAGGAGCGGGGAGAGGAGCGGAGCAGGGCAGCCTGACGTCAGTCATCCACCATCAGGACTCTGGGACCGCCTCTGGCCCGAAATGCACCGCGGCAGGCTAACAGCTAACAGCTAACAACCATGATGCTAACAACAGAGCAGAGGAGCAGAGCTGTCAGTCACATGTGTTTTCACTGTCTCCAGGTTATTGCATCTGTAAGTTACCTGTTTCTTGCAAAGCTTAGTGCAAGCTTAGTAGTATGCTTGGAAAATGATTATGGCTTTAGTTGGTCATAATTCCTTTATATAGTCTTGTTGTTAAGTTGTGAATGCTTACAGTAGGGTGACCAGATGTCCCTATTTACCCGGAATAGTTTCAATTTTTAACCCTGGGACAAATCAGATTAATCCAAACCTATTGATTTGTTCCAGTTTTATACAAGAAATGTCCCAGGTGTCCCTATTTTTGACCAATTTTAAACTAAACCAGGACTAAATTAAGACTAAACCAGGACTAAAATAGGACTATCACAATTTTTGACCAATCTGATCCTCGCCAACAGTAAAGAGAAGCATAAATTGCCATTTGTTTAGCCAAATACAGGAAATTTACAGACAGTGTATTTATACCAATCCTCCCAACCCCAGTGTGTCCCAGTTTTTAATTTTGATAATCTGGTCACCCTAGTTTACAGCTTTGTTGACAGCATCAAAATGTTGTGATCTACTGTAGGTTTTTAAATTTACAAAGACAGAAAAACAAACATTTTGTACGGTACTTGGTAATATGTATCTTAATTAAAATAAAGACAGGGTATTTAAACTCATTCTTTGTTTTGATTGAGCAAAAATACTGTAATTTTTCTGGTGGATCTTGTCTCCATGGGAATATTCTTGGACAGTATGCCATTTAATTCATGTAGCATGCACTTATTCAGCTGTTTGACTTGGTGACATTACCTCTTTATAGATATAGTGTTCCCCTACTGTGTGACAGTCCAGGAAAAACCACTAACACCTCCATGGAGACAAGGCAAAATGGTGGACACGCCACCAGAAAAGTTACATGGTGCACCTTTAAAATTGTGATTACACTGATAGAGATTTTCCTTTACAGGTTCATTGATTGTTATACAAATTGGCCTATAAAGTCTTTATGCATTTAACAACATGACAGCCAATGAAGTGCGTCTGTGTGGGCTTCTGCTGAGGGAGCACTTTGGAGAAGTGGTGGAGAAATTGGGAACTCATCTGCTCAGAAATGGACCACAGGCTTTAAGAACCATCATTCATGAGACCGGCATGCCACTGGACCAGGTAAATCTATGCCCCCATACACCGTGAAAAGTAAAAATATATTGGTACAGTTATGTTCTTTATCCTCTAAAAGAACTATGAATACTGTAAGAATGAACAAATAATATTTAATCACAAATGTTTTTTCCAAATATTGTTTATTGAATTCCAGGACCAATAACATTTTACAGAACAGTGAAATATGAACTGCTGAACTAATAAATAAACACATCCCATACAAAACCACAGGATAGGGGGTTTATAGTTTAAAGGGCATAATAGTCAATCAATAAAAATAGGTTAATTTATTCCTTGGGCAGCAAATCAAGCACAGTGAGCAAACAAAAAGGCAATGATTAAAGGAAACTCTAAAAAGGGTCTTCATTCAGGAGTTTGACAGTAGGAGTCAGAAGGAGACAGCTGTTCCCCAAACATGGTATTAAATGTTTTTTTGTTATTTTGTGATTGTGGTAGATTAAAAAGTCCAATACCTTAGAATCCTTTAAAAAGGTAAAAAGTTATAAAACATTATATTTTGAAAGCGATAGAGCTCTGGAATGATCAGTGATTTCAGTTTTTTTTTTTTTAGAGTGTTTTATTTTTTATTTATTACGTTTTTTTTTAACATAATAAAACCTTTCTGTTATGTCAGTCCCATTGGGGTTTTGTCTATATCCGCAGGAGTGAAAAAAATCTATCTATCTATCCATATCCATCTTCCTATCTTCCTATCTTACTACTACTGCTACTGCTACTGCTACTGCTACTGCTACTGCTACTACTGCTACTACTGCTACTGCTACTACTGCTACTACTGCGACTACTATTACTGCTGCTGTCCGAAAATGCAAGTCTTTCAGGTGTACAATGTTCATCTTAAATTCCTTACTTGTGTTGTTTGTAACTGCAGGTGAAGAAGTCTTTGTGTGTTTTGATGCAACAAGGAACGTGTACTTACTGTTCTGGGCGTAAAGGACCTGGGAGCCCAGCTGAGTACTGCGCCAATGGCGACCGCATTCTGAGAATCCTGCGATATCCTCGATACATTTACACCGCCAAAACCCTGTACGGAGACACAGGCGAGCTGATCGTAGAGGAACTGCTGCAAAGAGGCCACTTAACCATGAGTGAGACGGTGAAGACTGTGGCCGACAGACTCACACAGAACATGGAGGGTCAGCTGGAGTTTTTAAATACACTTATTTTACTTAGAGGGGGACAGTACATCAAAAAAGTGCGATAGGGGAATAATTATCGATAATATTATAGGGGTGATTGATTTAATATAGTTTAATATTACAAAAGACAACGTAACAACTCAAATATCTTACAGTGGAGACTTTCATTGTGAGATCTACTTTTAAAATACAATAAAGTGCAGGTAGAAGTTTGCATGTATTCATATATACATCATAAAAAGGTAGTACTGGACTATTTAAAAGTCCTATATTATGCAAAATTGATTCTTGTGAGCTGTAAGTCATGTTATAATGTTTGTACCTCATCAAAAACATACCTAGAGTTGTATTTTGTTTCTTTCACACGTTTGACTAACCCATTATCCTCTCCAAAGCTGAAAATGCTCTGTTCCACCTTGTGATTTAATGAAGCAGTAGTTTTTAAGTTAACAGCTTCTTTTCGAAATGGGCAATTCCGAGCTGAAATTATCCAAGTGACTCTAGCGAAAGTGTATGGAGTTTAAAAAAACACATCCCCAAAAACACCATCCACATGATTCCAGCGAAGATGTTTGGAGAACACATAGTGCACTTTGTGTATTACCATATGACATCACAATGACACAATGGAACAAAGTGTTTTCTGTATAAGAGAGGAACTCAGCCAAAATATGTGAGATTTGTTTGTTAAACATGTGTGAATGAAACTAAACACGAGTCCAGTATGTTTTTGATGAGTAAACACCATTATTAGATCAGAAAATAGTGTAATATGGGCCCTTTAAATAATATTAAGTTAACAATAACAAAAAAATATAGTTATTAACTTACCATTCATATGTTGTGAACAAAGTTAAAAATAAATTCCTTGTCAAATTCTATCCATAATATCTTGATAAAAGATTAAACAAGGAAGAACACAAGCTTAAATTGTGGCAAAATTATCCAAATTATAAAGATGCTTAAAGCTGGTCACAAATCAGTTGTTCAATGTTTTACTGTAAAAATAAAATCTCTTACTTTTGTGTTATTATATTATATTTAGTTTATTCTATGGGTATTAAGCTGGACTGTATTGCCATGTTATAAGTTGTGCAGCCATTTTGTTCAGTTTTTGTTATCTGAAGAAAAAAATTATGAAAACTTTGATGTCTTCTTTAAATTTTAGAGGGCCGTAGCATGGATTACAGTGAAGTGTCATCTACATTCTCCAAATTGGTTGAAACCCATTTCCTTCAGCGCTGCCCTCCGGTGGGAGTAGAGAAAAAAGCCTCTTCGTCAGATAACCCCACTCCTGCAGTCACCGGCCCAGAGTCTGCAGAGAGCTTCCCTGACTGTTACAAAGTGCCTCATGTTACGCTGATAGGACGAGGAAAACGGCCTCTTGTCACTGAAGATGGAGAGGAGCAAAGAAACGCAAAAAAGCCCAGACTCGATGCACAGGTACAGTTTATATCCATAAAGATCCCATGATATCAGGCACATTTTTTATATATTGTCATGTTGTTTTCTTGTCCAAAAATACAGTACTTCTTTTGTTTCTTTTGCACATTGGAGTATTCATCTTTCTTAAATCTATTTAGCTTAACCAAATGAGTTCTCAGTTTGTTTTTTAAATTTCCATCTCTAAAAATCTTACCAAACTATTACGCTGTTGATCTATATTATAATTTTGTCTCCTTATCAAAAACATACCTGGAGTAGTGTTTAGTTTCATTCACACAGGTTTAATTACTGTGATGTCATGTGGTAATACAGGAAGTGCTCCACTGTGTTTTTAAACTCAGTACACTTTCACTATAATCTTTTGGATAATTTCATCTTTGGAATTGCCTATTTACTGAACAAAAGGTAAAATGATTACTCAGACGTGTGTGAATGAAACAAAATCCAACTTGCAGTATGTTTTTGATGAGGTTAATATTACTTAAAGCTCAATTTTGTGTAATATTGGACCTTTAATTCAACTTCATTCACATATATAGTAATAGATCTCCATTCTATTTTTTACTTACAATTCTTACAGTTTGATTTAAAATGTATCACGATTTTATTACAATGGCTATGTTTTCTTGTCATGCAGACACACGGTGATGAGGGCATTTACTGGCAGGTGAATTTTGAGAGGTTTCATCTCCATTTCAGAGACCAGACCATCATCAGTGCTGTAGCCAACAAACTCGACCAGGTAAAAGTCTTAGAATTATTTGTACAAAAAAATTCTTGAAAATGTATAAAAATGCTTCAGTTTATTGTTGTATTTGTAAAAGACTGGTTATACTGAACATTTGTTACATATTAGAATTCAGATCATAATTGCTGGCAAGACACTTTACCCGCCCTGCCACTGTTTAAATGTAATGTGTGTGTGAGTGACTGGTGGTGGACAGAGGGGATGGTGGCACAGATATGCAGCTTCAGTCAATCTGTCCTAAGGGAAGCAGCTCAGCACCATCGAGTATGGAATTAATGATTGATGACTATGTTCACGCTGTAAAAGTGCAATACAAGTGTAAGACAGCATTATCATTGGTGAAATTTAAAAGGCTCACTCATGTTGTAAAATTATACTATATCTCCATACTTCTTTACTGCAGAACTTGAAATAGTTTAGTGTTTGAATTTTATCACTGCACAGGCTCTTAGGGAAGGGTTTATTTTCACTTTATATAAAACTTTAAATGTGTTTGTCCTCCTTGTCTTTCAATTTAATTTCAGACTAGCAGTGAGATCGTTCGGACTATGCTAAGAATGAGTGAAGTAACCACCGCCCCTCTAGCCCCCTGCACAAAGCCCCTCTCAGCCAACGAAATCTTCAGATCGCTCCCATCCAGCTACAACATCCAGAGACAAATATTAGACCAGTACCTCAGTCTTCTCGTCGATGATCCGGCAAGTTTTTGGCAGCAGTTGTTGTGAATATATTATCATTATTATCGATGTAAATGAGAAACGCTGTAATCGACTGCTTTATTTTACAGATGGAGTTTGTGGGGAAAGCTGGTGAGAGTGGAGGAGGAATGTTTGTCGTCAGTATCCTTTGTACTTAAATGTGCACTGTGTAACTTTTGCTTTGGTATTTTCAGTGGCGTACTGTTGAACATTCCAGACAATCTTGAATTTGTCAATTTTTTTTTTATATTGCTAAAGAAAAGTACCTTGAAAACATGCATTATTACTGGGCACTGACTCATCTTTCCACAGATCTGAAGTGTAACTTGTACTGGCACCATTACCAGCTTGTTTAATGCCATACTGTGGAACATTCTAAGCAAAACAAAAACATCATGGTGACAATCAAATGTATTTTTCTGTATGCTGTCTGACGTAAAAGATACCGATTATATTTCTTAACTAAATTCTCAGATTTGCACAGAGCTTTGGCCAATCTGGCACGGGCAACACTTGAATCAGTCGTACAGGAGAGGTAAATCTGCTTTTTAATAATTCTCTAATGACATGATGGTGTTGCCTATTCTTTTGTTAATATAATGAATATATTTATGCAGATTTGGATCCCGGTCGGCCCGCATCTTTCGATTGTTGTTAAGGACTCGTCATTTAGAGCAAAAGCAGGTGGAAGACTTTGCCATGATTCCTGCTAAAGAAGCAAAAGAAATGCTCTACACACTGCTCTCTAAAAACCTCGTCCAGCTGCAGGTTGGCAAACAAAATATTTCTGCTAATTTTCCAATAATAAATGGCGACCTTAGCAACCAAATTACCATTTTATAATTGTAGAAAATAATTAAAATGATTTGAATTAAAACTAAATCCAGTTTAATCATGCGTTCTCTTTGGACCTATTAATTAAAACAGATTAAAACATTTGCATTTGTATGTGTGAGCAACCATGCTGACCGAATAAATTAGTCTGAATTATTAAAATGTTTTTTCATATTTCACTTGTAATTTTATAATTTATTTCAGGAAGTTCCAAAGACCCCAGATTACGCTCCTTCTCGCACTTTCTATCTTTATACGGTCAACCAGCTGCCTACTGCGAGGATGCTCCTACAGAACTGCTACAAGGTAAACAAAAAAATAATATTCCAAGTTTTGAGATATTGTAAATTGCAATAGTATTTACATCATCATATTTATGCCAACTTCTATTTCATTTGTTGCATTTGATTGTGCTTTCAGACAGTGGGCAACCTCATAGAAAGACGATTGTTTGAATCCAAAGAAAGCAAGTTAGTTCTTTGTTTTTGTGTCCATGGCTTTCAGAATAATGAAACCAAAGATAAAATGTACTGTACTGTTTTTTGTAACTATAATGATCTGTTATTTTCCAGACGTTTGCTGGAGAAATCTCAGAGAATAGAAGCAATACTTGCGTCATTGCAGGCGAGTGGAGCAGAGCCAGAGCAGCTCACTGAGGTGGAGGAGATGATTACTGCAGCAGAAAAACAGCAGCTGAACTCCCTAAGACTCCACGTCAACAAGTAAATACAACTTTTACCACATACGGTTGGTCCATAAGTGGGTGGGTACATTGGGTACGTTTACAGGGCCAGTATAAATTAAAATACCTGGTTATATGTATCAATTAGTAAATGGATTTTTAGAGTGAATGTTGTAATTATAGACAAAGTACAATTGATTTTAAAATGCTTAATTTCAATCTTTAACATTTTAACTTTCATTTTCTGTCTTAGCCAAATTAGTCCTTGTCAAAACCTGCACAGTTGCAAACAATCAGAAATAAATCAGATTATTAATATCCAATGTAACTGTTAATGTGACATTAAAAAAATTGGATAATACCAGAAATCAATCAGACAATCAGATTTTGGGTGTACATGTCAACTATTTGTTATTTCTGTATTTCCCAAAACCTATTGAAACTACTGTCCCATAGCGTACTTTATATCAAATCTTATAATTTATAATTTATTAGGTCATTTTACAACACTACAAAACAAAACAGAGACTACAATCCCATAGGTCATGATCGAAAGGGTTTAGGCTGAAGCAAGAGGTACTTATAATGCCTGACCCTAATCTAATTTAAATCTTCACTTGTGATGCTCGTTGGCCTGATGTCTGAAAGCCGTGGACAACATCACTAAGCTCGGGGTTCCCTCCTTACTGCTGCTATTCTGGTCTATACTTATGACTGTGCAGTTGCTCAAAAAAAAAAATTATTAGAAATTTAATTTCTAATTTTTAATCATCATGAATAATATAACTGACAGGCCTATAGTTATTATCTGTCAGGAAAAGTCTGTTTGGTGCAGAATTCAGATTTAGGAGGAACACATTAGACTTTTTGTTTGTGTTAAATGAGAATGTCATCTGCATTTTTAATTTTCATGATTTGTTAAGGCAAAGGAAAAAATGGAATACAAAAACAAAACATTTTTTATCGTAATGCTGAGTGTGGACTTTATCAATTATGGAAGTGGGGACTGAATAAGTCTTCGTAATTAGCACAACTTGGTTCATGTCCAAATATCTAGGGACCTGGATCCTAACTGCGTTTAGTGGCCTGATGGTATCTTGACCGTGTATTATTGTACTTCATCCAGGTTGGATTCAGCAGAGAACCAGGTGGATGAAACCATCTTTCTACTGGAATCCTACATTTTCACCACCAGCTTAACTGCCTGAAGAGACAACACTAGTACAGCAATGTGAATGACAATACACACTTAATGGTATGCTATGTTATCGGTTGAAGAATTTGAGTTGGAATAAAATTTGAAAATATTTTGGCATCTTTTGTTTAAAAAAAAAAAAACACTATGGGCTCAGGCTATATAAAAGCTGATGAAGTCTGCATAACTAACAGAATATCATAATCACATTTTAACCAAATGAAGATCAAATTATGATCCAACCGTTTCAAATTTATAACTTTGGACTAAGAATCTGTAATAAAAGTATGATGAAATCTTCAGTGATCAGCTTTTTTCTTTTTAATTGAGAGGTCTACAGCCAGTCCTCTAAGTAAAAACATGTGGTTTTGGAGCTGAGTTTAGACTTTGGAGGAAGAAGCTCAATATTCTTTTAGGCAATTTGTATTTGTTGTTGTTTATGTAAATGCACTGAATGTTACGGTATTTTAAACTTATCTTTAATAGGAAAAAAATAGATCATCAAGTAACACAAGGGAAAAAGTAATTATTGTGCCTTAATGCCTAGACCAGCAATAATTTATTTTTTGCATATTCCCAACTTTACGCACAAGAAAGAAAACTGTATTTAAAAAAACATAACGCACTGAAAAAAAAAGATGCAATCAACACAAAATGTATTAAATAAAAAAGTGAAATTGTTTATTACAAGTTTATTTCTCCTCAAAATTACAAAAGTGTATTTACATTAAGTGCCCCTAACCCTTCCAAAATGGGGTTGTGCATTGGTTGTAAACTCTCCTGCTGCTGTGTTTGGTCTGGCCCTGTGCAGTCCTGTGTCAGGGCGTCCTGTCTCTCTGCAGCCGTGGAGTCAGATTCATCGTGTGCAACAAATAAAGTCTACAGCGAGATTCAGTCCTCATGGTTTTCATCTTCTTCTTCTCTTTGTTTTCGTGTAAAGAATCCCAGCTACACAGAAAGCACAGACAATAGACACATTTAATTAAAATACAGACAACACAACAAAACATTTACCTAAAATATTCAAAATTCAGAAAATCAACATTTACTTGTGATTGGTTTACTTTTTAGGACATATAGTGTAACAACAGAAAAACACACAATATTAAAAATAACTCTAAACATGGAGGATACATATAAAACTTGCATATTTTATCCCCTCTTTTAAGTAGTGAATAATTATTAAATTGAATGATTTTGCAGAGAAGTCATCTAATCAAAACAGCCTTAAAATAATGACATATTTATTACCAAGCACATCTAGTGTTATTTTTCTTTATCCTAGACTGCAAAACATCTTTGAGTCATAAAAAGAGATTTACTATGTATTCATTTTATTTTATTATTATGATGAAAAAGCCATTTAAAAACTTCACAAGTCCATTATTCTAACTGCTAATTTATACAGTAATTTTAACCAAAGGCAATTATTTCTCTTCTGTTCATTATAAAACATCATAATTAATTTTCTTGTATAACTGCAATGTAATAATTTCCTTGTAATTACCTTCCATAGTATAAATGTGATCAGTGCCAGTAGTAGTAAACCTCCAATGATGCTTCCGATCAGTATCCACAGGGAGATGGGAATCGCTCTCCCCTTCAGCACCTCCAGAACAGTCTACAAACACATAAACGCATAAAGGTGGATTGGATCTCTGTGTTTATTTCTAATGCACTTTAAAAACAATTATAAAAGGCAATAAAAGATGAGATAATTTAAAAATTTCCTTCATTCATTGTGAAAACCCTGTGTTTTTCTCACCTCTCTCCAGACTGTTCCTGTGCCCAGCGTGATGAGGTTAGTTTCCTGAGCAGCCACGTTGTAGGCTCCTATTATCCTCACCGATTTGTACTTTGCCTAAACAGAAAATATGTAAATATGTAAGGCTCGGGGTTAATAGAGGTGTGCATGCATCGTGAAACTGGTGAAGAGTTGAGCTTTGTTTCAAGATTAGATAAGTGATTTCATTTTTTATAAAAGGTGGGAAAATCACACACAAATCAGGTTGAGACTGTGTAACCATGGGCCCAAGTCTTAAACCTTAAAGCAAAATATGATAACTCCCTCTAATCTGTTAAAATTTGGTAATTGATGTCTTACATTTCTGAAGAAGTCATCGTGAACTCTGCGACTGACTCGAATGACTGCAGCCTGTCCTCTCAAAAGCTGTTGGACTTCACATGTGACTTCAGTGCACCACGACCGGCTGCAGTTCTGCAATATACAACACACAGACATGCAATACGTAAGGATACAGGGGGTGACGTATGATACAGGTATGTGTCAGTTTAGATCTTTATGCTTTTAGACATAGACAGGTTTTAATTTAGTTGCTGTTTTACTTTTCCTCCTCCACTCCTCAGCTGTCAATCCCTAGTCTGATTCATCAGCTGGTTTCACTTTGTGGAAACCGTCTGACCTCGCAGCATTAGGATTTGTTCTCTTGACAGCAGCCAGGTACTTTTTTTTATTTAACCAATCACTGCTATTTGGTCGTGACGTATGTAAAGCACCAGAACCCCATAGGAAGAAGGGCAATAATGTCTTTCCTCTTGATAAAATTCACCAAACATTCTCTTTGTTCCAGCTTTAAATCCTCAATCTTGGGAATCGTTGCCAACACAGAATGTATGTCTTTGTCTACATCCATCTCAACCGCTTTGTTTACTGTTGTGTTGTTCCACAAAAAGGACCCAGACAGGAGCTTGAGTTTGCAACATGGCTTCACAGCTCTTCGCTGATTGGCCGGTGTGTGGTCTACAACTTCCGGGGTTCTTGCAAACCATTTAGTGTATTATGATTCCTGACCTAGTCGCTGGAGAGAAATGAACTTGAGCGGAGGCACTAGGTGGCGCCAGCCTGGCTAGTCAATCACACCTCTAGAGAGAAGAAAGAGCCAATAGGAAACAACCTTCCTTTCCCCAGGCACTAGTGATTTCGGAATGAAACTAGAACCAAAACGATATATTGATTTGTTCAAGTTTATACACTATTGGATTTTTTCTGAAAAAACATGACCACATGATGAAGTTAAACGATTATTATTATTATGTATTGAAAATGACATTATACTGTATACAATTATGATTCAAATATAAGGATGGTTAAGGAGCAATGAGTTGATTGATACTGATACATGTTTGCATCAATGGTTTGGGTATTGAAATAGCTATAGACTATTTCACTTTATCCTTTGCATCAAAATGTTACTTTCCGTTTTACTATATACTCACCAGTACGTCATTTTGAACCATATCCTCTGGGTGAAGTGGCCGCACGTCTCTCTGTCTGGCTTTGAGCTGAGCCAAGTGACTGAGGACACTGCAGTTTACTCCTGTGGCCTACAACAGGACACTCTGATTAAGATAATGGACATAATATTAACAATGGCAGACATAAACATGAACTGTGCTCACGTTGTAAGAGGAGACATCGGTGACGGTCATAAAAACTCTGTCCTCTGCTGCCACTGACGGAAGAAGCAGCTTCAACTCCAAGTTACTCACAGAATAACAACCCAGATTTTGTACCTATGGACAGAAGTATGTTTTAAAAAAGAAATAATGCCTCACACTTTAAAAATGTGCTATTAAAGTTTAAAGGAAACATGCACATTGTACTTTTATGAACCACATATTATCACGAGAGGTGTGCTTAAAAAAAAGAAGTGCTTAAAAAAAAAAAAAAGGCCCAACCAATTATATGCCCCTTCCATGGTTTTTGATTTGCAATTCTTTGAACAATTTAGACTCCAGTAGCAGAGAATAAGATCTAAAGTATTGAACAAGTCAAGTTTCTATTATTAACTTGTTTTCAATCAATTTTGCAGTTTACAACAAACATAACAACGAACAAATGTACAATCTTGGTCTAGAAGTGATTAATATTGAATGTCAGAACATAAGCACAGTATGTCTCTTTTGAGGATCATTACCCTGAGATGTGTGAAGAACTCTGGCCCAATGGCTTCAGACACAGACCGCGTGGGGTAGACCTCATAGCGGTTCAAGTTTGAATCACTGTATCAGGAAAAAAAGAAATTGGAAAAATACAAAACCATCATGAAATTATTGCATGTACCAAGCTTTAACTTACCTGCTGACAAACAGGTCTGGTTCATACTGGACAAAACTCAGCAGCTGAACACTGTTGTCTCCCAAAGTTTCTTCCTTTTCTACACTGTCACTGTAAATAAACACGTGGTCTTAAGTTTACATTACGTGTAATTGTATCGTACGCTGTGGTGCAGTGTTACGGAGCTTTACCTGGAGGCATAAAGTTTCATCTGAACACGACTGTGCAGCGACGTGCAGCTGAACTCAAACTCCAACATGAAATTGACCTTTAAGCAAAAAAATAAATAAATTATATATATGTCCATGTTCTTGGTTTTATTGTACTTCTATCCTTCAAATCAAGGAAACATTTGTGTATACTTTCACTCAGATACAAATTTGTACAATAATATACAGTATAAATGCATTTTCCAGAACAAATAATTACAAAATTAACTTGTAAAATATGTATAGTGTTACATTATTAAGGCTTAATTTAAAAAAATTTTGATTGAATAAATTATGTTATGGTGGTGATTAGATTTTTGATTTATGTTTTATTTATTTTTTTATTTTTTTAATGTTTATTAAGGACATCATAATCGCATAAGACAAGCCAGACGTGTGTTGCTTCAAGTGTTTTAGCACAAGTCCTAGTTTTCAACACCTGTCCATATAAAAGAATATAAACTATATGCATAAAAACAGACATACAAGACACATAAGTTACATACAGGACATTTTCAACGAATGCATTTTTAATTGGAAACATACAATAATTTTAATTTACTTTTAAATTGTTGTTGTAATTGGTTTCCAATTTTAAATCAGTTGGTAAACAGTTTTGCAGAGAAAGAGACTAACCAAGAGTCGTCCTGTACATAGGAACAACACAATTACCACTAGTAGCATCTCCTGTATTGGCTCTGTGCTTTATGGTCCTGGCAAATTCTGAATATAGTCATGTATGACAGTTAAGGCACTTAAAAAGGAGTTTAAGATGATTAAAATTGGTAAAAATTTGTTTCTTTAAAATTTCTTAAAAATTTCCCAGTGGTGCCAGTGACTTGTGAAATTCTGTTCAAAGTTCACGTTTTAAACTTTATCCAGGAGCATTAATATTTGAGAGAAGAGCCTGTTTGTAGAGGTCTAAACTATATGGTTAGCAGGCTTCAATTTAGGAGACAAGATATTTTGTTGTTTGTACAGGGGATTATTATAGTCTTTGTAATATAGTAAGTGCAATACTGGTAGATAGAGACACACACATCCAATAAAGATTGTGACTGTGCTCTGGGTCCAAAAACAAAAATTGTAAAAAACAGAGCTCTTTTTTTCTTTCTATTATTATTTTGCAGTATAGAAACCAGAATGAATTACCTTTGACTGGGAGCGAAACACTGGGTAACTGACATTACAGGAGTGGCTGTTGGATGTTAGAGCCGTACACTCAATTTTCAGAAAAGCATCCTCCTAAAAAAAACAAACAACAGTGATTATATGCTTGTAAGGGTGGAATTGGGTATTGGAAAGTGTCTCTGTGTAATCTACCCTGATGCTGAGGCTGGAGAAGTGCAGGTTGCGTGAATAGTGCAGAGTCAGACTGGTGTTGTAGGCGTTCTCCAGTCTGTTCTCCAGCTGCACCTCCACTGCCAGACGTCTGCGAGGGCTGCGGATCAAGTAAGGCTTCTGTCTGTGGGAAAAGATAAACAAATTCAGGCATTTAACTGCGACATGTGTGCACTATTCTGGTGGAGAGTCCAGTCCCTGATTGTTTCTATGGAGATGTTACTGCTTTGCCAGAAATGCTCTGCAATATGGCATTAGACTTATCTATTTTGTACTTATTGAATTACAAGTGTTTTTATTCTTTAAAAAAATACCCTGAATAACATAAATTCTTATTGCTTTCCAGGCAAAGCAATAACATCTTCATAAAGACAAGGGACAAGGAAAGCTACATACTACGTTTAAATTATTATTAAATTATTTTCCATTGATTCGTTTTTTCCATTTAAATTTGTTTTCATATACTTACGCTTACATATGCTTATTATAAATGTCACTAATTAAGAATAGCCAAAACAGTAGTCAAAAGTTCAAGTACTTTACATAATCCATATTATATCGTATAAGTCATACAATTAAAAAAAGCTACTATTGATCAAGTTTAATTACATTTAAAGCATTCTCAAAAACATTTTTACAATAAGCACATTTAAAAAAGAGTACTTAAAATACCTTTACTTTTTTCTCTTGTATCTGAAACTTACTTTGTTCCAGAGATGTCCATTTTTGCATTCAGCACCAGATCTGTCGTGCAAACGTCGTCCTCGCCACAGTCTTTAAAGAATGGGATCTGGACAAAAACCAAAAGCGTTGGTACAAAATTTTTAACAAAAATATTTTCAAATAATTTATCATTTTCTCTCACATGTTTCTTGAGAGTAGTGGGCCAGCCTTCATCCAGAACAGGGCCGCTCTCTGTGTCGTTGATCTTGAAGCGCAGAGTGAAGCTGATTGGACGAATGTAATCTGCAGTGTCCTATACAAGAAAATCATGTTTAGTTTTAATGTGTTATGCCTTTGAATTTTGAGTTTGACTTTAAATTTACTGCAAAGTTATTGACTACTATTTTTACTCATCACAGGCTACATTTAAATTAAAATGTTTGTCTGAAATTAATAAAAACTTTTAATCTAATGTTGCTTGTGAGTAAAATATTGAAAAAACTGACAAAACAACCACTTTAAAGTAAAATCCAAATGACCAAATAGTCAAGTGGGAGTTATGTGAAAATCACGTCATGTTCTTCAGTCCTGACAGTTTAAGTCGACTCACATAGACATGGAAAGGCAGCTTGTAGCAGCGCTCCTCTCCTGTCTGGACTCTGACTGAGCGCTGTGTTTGTCTGTTGGAGCTGTCGTCAAACAAGGCTCGAGCTGACAACTTCCTGTCATCCAACATCGCACTGATCCACAAGTCTGAAACACAGGAGCACAAATGTGTATACTGTGTCTTTTTAAACAAATTATACTTCAGTAAATAATATTATTTCTCAAGCAGAATCCAATGTTGGGTCAAAATGCTGTCATCAGAGTTAGATTCAGATTCAGATTCAGATTAACTCTGACAGACATATAAAATGTGCAAATTAATTTTTAAATTATTTACCTTAAAATTATAGATAATGGTACATGTCAAGAAACTCAGAAATAAGTCTAATACAATATTTTTGCATTTTTGTATTATATGAACGCTTTAAAGCAGGGGTGTCAAACTCAGATTCACAGAGGGCCAAAATTTAAAACTGGGATTAAGTTGTGGGCCAAACTAAATATTTATTGAAAAATGTCAACATTTGCATGTTTTCTCTTCTTTCGAGATATGTAATGTCAAACCTTTTCTTATTAAAATAAATGTTTAATAATAGTTTTGCTTAAACATTGAACCCAGAACAAGCATAATACAAAATAATTACAAAATTTTAAATAAATAATGTCTCTGTAGCCTATCTGTAGCCAGCGAGCCAGCTATAATACATATTTGATATGATCTCAGGGGCCAAATATAATTATATCGCAGAGCAAATTTGGCCCACGAGCCTGAGCTTGACATGTCTGTTTTAAAGTAAACTCATCTTGTCGTATGCCCCACTTTTATGCTCTGGCTTTCAGCAAGACTTGAGTGGTTGTGTGGTTCTGTTTTTTGTTTAGCTTTTTTTAATGCTATAAGATGCATCAGATTTGGTCTTGGATTGGATAAAGAACAAAAATGAAAGCTGTACCAAAGTTATTGCTCTGAGGTCCGGGCGAGCGAGAGACAGCAATGAAACAGGCTGTAGCGTTGAGACAGGCCGAGTCCCTGCCCCCCCGCTGGCACGTCTTCTGGATGACATTGATCGAATGTGGCTGGAAGGACAGGCTCACATTGATCTGGACAATGCTCCGGGAGCTGGAGACAAGAAATTTCGTTCATACAGTTGGTGAGAGATAGAGAAGTTTAAGAGAAGGGACAGTAAATAAAACATTTAAGTATAATATAAATCTTTAGTTCACAAATGATTATGTTGATTTTTCAATTTTACTTGTGTGACCTAGATTACTTAACTTTCCATGTGGTTTTTGAATTGTTTAAACATAATTTAGCTTGAAAATAAGATAATTATTAGTTGGAAGTATCAATAATCAAAGAAAATTATCTACACTGTACATGTTAATACAATGAAACTAGTAAAAACACCTATTTTCGTCCAGGATTAGCTCAGTGGAATTAGTCTTGTTCAGGCTTAGTCTTGGTCTAGCCCAGGTTTAGTCCTAGTCAAACAGTGTATGCAATCATAATAAAGAGTAATTGAGAGTAATTTTGTTTTCCTGTTTTTCAGTCTGGTTGCATTGTCCTTGAGTTATCCTGGCGAATGATGACATAGAGGTATTATATTTTCCTCACCTCAGCAGAACAGCGCTGCCCTGTGCACCCACAGCCAAGTCTATCAACTCGTCTCCGTCCAAGTCCAACCGGGCACTGATGCTACGGCCAAAATACTGAAGAGAGGGGGAAATCGCTGACGCTGCAATACGCTAAAACACAAACATTTGAACAGGATTAGAAGAATTTGGTAGAATATTTGCAGGCCTGTCAAAATAAGTAATTTGTTATGAGACATATCACTGCAGTAAACAAATAGACTGATAACTATTTCATTACACTGATGCAGTAACCCAGGACTGTTCAAACAAATCCAGCCCTCTGACTAATTTTTGTTAGCCCTCAGGATTCCTATTGTTGGCACAAATTACCCAAAATTTTACTCTTTACTGCACAATTTGAAATGCTTTGCTACCATAACCTAAATAACTAACATTTTGATGTGATACAGGCTTAAGATAAATGATCCAAGCCAACTCAAAGGTGTTGTGGCTTAGTCAAAACTCATTTTGAAAGATTCGCATTGCTGTCCTCTAGACAGTTAGCCTGATTCATCAGCCGGTTTCACTTCATGAAAACCGTTTGACCTCGCAGCATTAGGATTAGTTCGCTCGATGGTGGACGAGTACTTTTTTTATTTAACCAATCGCTGTTATTTGGCCGTGACGTAAGTAATGCACCAAATCCCATAGGAAGAAGGGCAATAATGTCTTTCCCCTTGATAAAATTCAGCAAACATTCTCTTTGTTCTGGCTTTAAATCCTCGATCTCGGGAATTGTTGCCAACACAGATTATATGGCTTCATCTACATCCATCTCGACCGCTTTGTTTACTCCTGTGCTGTACCACAAAAGGGATCTAGACAGGCACTTGAGTTTGACGTCATGGCTTCACAGCTTTTTGCTGATTGACCGGTGCATGGTCTACAACTTCTGGGGATCTTGCAAACCGTCTAGTGTATTTTGATTCCTGACCTAGTCGCTGGAGAGAAATGAATTTGAGCAGAGGCACGAGGTGGCGCCAGCCTGGATACTAGACAGTGACCCTCTGCTCTGTATTTGTTTGAATATGTGGCCCTCAGTGAAAAAAAGTTTAGACACATCTTCTCTACTGTAGCCTATATTTTCAAAAGCAAAAATTAAACATACCAATATTCAATAAAACACATGAGCAGTAATACATATGAACAATAATTCACAACACAATTACTGTACAAAATAAATAGCATACTAGAATCAGTAATGAGTTAACAATATTTGATTATTGGGCCTATTTACATTATGCAAAAACCTGCATAAAGCTGAATGCTGAAATTTACGGGAGATATTTATGTCTAGGGCAGCTATGGTACAATAGTTGTCAGTTGAAGGGAGCTTAGGGATAAAAAAATATAAGTACAAGATTGTAGATTTCTAGCAGCTGAGTTGCACTTTAAGTAAGAAATGTTATAGTTTTTATATTTTAATAATAGTATAAATGCCTGCCTTTTGTGTTGTTTTTTGCTAGATGTGTTAATGTACCTGTTTATAATTGTGTTCTATGTAAATTCCACGCCCATGAAACACATAGATAGCCCCACTGTGGTCGTCCTCCAGAGGGGCTCCCACCAGCAGGTCTGTGAAGTTGTCATGGTTCAGGTCTGGAGCAGGGGCCAGAGCGTAACCGAACCTGGCATCCTGAGAGCGGTCCTCAGCGTTCAGAGTCCCATTGGCCACGAACACCTCCTCCTGAAAAGACAGATGGAGAACATATTGAGGTATTTTAGTTTTCTGTTATGGGATGATGGTGACTGAAAGGGCCCATGTTATGCGATTTTCTTATCTGTTATAATGTTGTTTCCTCATCAAAAACATACCCGGAGTTGTTTTCTGTTTCATTCACAAACCCTGCATATTTAGGCTGAGTTCTTCTCTTCACTCTGTTTCACCTTGTTATGTCATGAGGTAATACAGGACATGTTCCACTGTGTTTTTAAACTCCATACACCTTCACTAGAATCATTTGGTGATTTCAACCCTGGAAATGCATATATCTACTGAATTAAAAGTGAAAGGTAGCTCTTAACTTGAAAACTTCCACTACATTTTGAGCTTTGGAAATGTAAACAGACTAATAACACAGGGTTACTCAAATATGTGTGAATGAAACAAAACACAACTCTTCTAACATTTTAACATGGCTTAAAGCTCTCAGGAGTTAATTTTGTATAATATAGGACCTTTAAGTATGGGTACGGGGGTTTAATTGTTTACAGTATCCTCATATTAAAAATAGATCCAAGACTATACTTTTTTTTTTTTTTAATCTGTGAATTTACAACTTTATTTCAATTCGTGGGCTTTGTATAAATATGAAAATATTTATTTCTGATGGCTGACGATTCATGTTTTGGTGGGATCAGTAATTTATGAAGCCTTGTGAGGTGACTACTGTTTTGATATTGGATTAAACAAAAATATACTGAAATGAAAACTGAAACTGATATTATTACTTAGGGGTGTAACAATAACCAAAATATTGTGACATTGTGTTGTCAAAAGTCTCTCAATAATATCATGAGCCATCACAGTATATCAAATCACAAGTTTCTTTACTTAAATTCATTGTTATGGTGCAGTAATAGCTAAAAGAACAGAGGGAACTATATTGACCATGATCCTTTGCTCCATTTTGGTGCAAACTACATGAAGAAATAACAGTTCTAAGCACTTTTAAGTCTTAGTTCTTTGAATTATCTCTTGTCAAGGCATTTTAAGAGGCATATTCACAATTTTGTTAGCCTCCACAAAATATCACAATAAATATCGTACCGTGAGATTTGGATATCATTACATCCCTATTATTACTACTACTACCTTATCTTTAATGCCATTTGTGAATAGACAGAATATGTAGCAGACCTCACACAATCCAAACAAACTTACTCCACTTAGTGTGTAGATGTAGACTTTTCCGGCCTCTTTGTTCCCAGAGCCCAGGTACATGGGAGCGGCCACCAGAAGAACATCCGTGATCCCGTCCTGGTCGATGTCCAGCCCACACACCTCACTGCCGTAGTATGAGCCAATCTGCAAACAGGAGGGGCACTTCAGTGAGCTGCCAGTAGGGGGAGGGCTTCAATCATTCTCTAGTTACACAGAGGTAGTGAGTAACCAAATGAAGCCACTGGACTAAAGTAAGAAGTCAGAATGAATATAAAAAGTAAAAAGTGGTGACACAAATAATTACTGATCTGATATCTGGATGAATATAACAGCTGATTTTGTTAAGTATCAATGTGCAATGTGCAAATTACAGTATTTTCAGATAATTAACTAAGTATTTAAGAAGAACAAACATATCTTCAAACAAGGTACACAAATTCAGTACTTTTAAATAAATCTTTTGTCACTTGCTTAGTCTTACTCAAGAGGAAAGAGTAATCCAAGGTTTTCCTGAATGTTTTATGTCAAAATTAAATGTAAAAACATAAAAAACGCCTTGAAAGTTCTTAAAAATGTCATATACTTTTGTGTGAGTACCTGCTCTCCATTGAGTGCTTGTACAATATTGACATCTCCATCTTCACTGAGCTCGAACAGAATGACTTTTCCTTTATGTTTGAATCTGGGGGCTCCAGCGACGTACAGCCTCCTCCAGTCGCCCACCATCACAGACGAGACAGTGTATCCTGCGAACATTTAAATAAACAAATATAGGGTCAGAAATTTAAGATGCATAGATCAGCTTAATGTGCATTTGACAGGTTGGACTACACACTTTAACACATTTGACTTTTTCTAGGTTTTTGTTTCTTATTGTGTTGATATATAACTGTAAACATGGGCCAAAACTTCTAAACTGTACAATATTTATGAAGAAATAAAAATAAATGACATTTTTATGACATAATTAGAACCCACTACTATTTCCAGCATATTGTTCTACTTTTCTTCTCAACTTTTTTTCAACTCCCACTTGACTAGTGTAAAACTATGATAAATATTTACCACAATAAACCAATTACCAAACCAATAATTAGAAAAACATTAAAAAAAAAAAACATATGTGCTTATAAAAACAAACCTAAACATGAGTAAGTGGTTCATACCCAAATAAGCGGCGTGGTTTTTAAGCTCCAGTGGAAACTCGCTCTCGAAGGCTTCTCTGGGGGGCATGATGCGTCCGTTTACCCCCTCCTTCAGCACTCCCCCATCCCAGTCATAGGCTCCCACCATCCCGAACAGAATACCATCCTGTCAGGAGATACACAATGTAAGAGCAAAAAAGGTAGGGATGGACTGTGATGGGCAAGTATTACAATTATAAATTTGTCTTAAAATAGAGATTCAGTTCACAGAGCTCATTTCAGAGACAAAAATTAAATATAAACTTAGACGTAGACAAGCTTTGGTGATCCACAAGGGAAATTATTTGGACACAGTAGCTCACACATCACAATATAATATAATAACAAAGAGCAAAAATATAAATGGTAATAATACATTCTAAATAAGTAGCAAAAAAGAGCAAGAGATGAAATAAGTCATAATTATATAAATGTAAATGTACAAGTCAAAATAAAATAGAAAGATAAGTAATAAAATATAAAATCACTGCTAAACTAATACCATAATAATTTCAAAATGATTTGTAGAGGTCTAAAGTAGAGGGTTATCAGGGTTTAGACATAACCATAAAGGGTAAAGACAGGTATAAGGCTGATAAATGGGATCAATATTTATGCTTTTTAGTGTATCGGCTATCGTCCCTAAACCTCCAGCAAAGTCTGATATTCTTTTGGACAAAGTCGACTGCTTGACTAAAGGAGATTAAAAAAGGCTCCTTATTATTCACTGCTGTTTAATATGGATTGTAGAGAATCTGTATCGTGGATGTCGTGGAATTAACTGTGCACTGTGAACTGCAATTATAGCAGATCAATTTATGGTTTTCAAAGCATCTCATTTGGGGTACATTACTGAAAACTGCTTCAACATATTTGCAGAATTGTCAACAATCATTTTTGGGTGGTCTATATTTATTGTAGGGACTTTTACTTCCTACTAGAAAAAATTATTTCTTTGACTCATTATACACTACGTAAGTGTTTCATGCTACTATTCTACTACTACTTCCACAGTATTGTACATTTAGAATAGTTTTTTGAGTGTGTGCCCTTCTTTAGGATTATTGTGTCAGTATCAGTCAATTTCCTGTCGTCTATAATTTATTCAGAAGAATTTTTGGTCATGACAGGTCTAGGCAGAGCTCATCAGTTATTGGTTGCATCCTATTAGTCAATCTCTAAAGAAGAGGAGATATTGTGTTCATTCCTCCTGGATTTTAAATGACTGTAATCATAAAGTAGTAATAAAAAGCGATACACCTGAAAAACAGAGCAAAATACTTACATCCAGAGTGTGTGTGGAAAAGCCGATCTGAGACATCTCCATGTGAAAGGAGCTCTGGTTGTACCCCAGTGTACCTTAAAAATGCAGAGAATATCAGGTCTCAGCATTAAAGAGGGTATAACACTGACCAACCCAATGATTACTTTATAATAGGGAAAAAAGTCCAGAATATTCAGCCAACTACGTCTTAGTGGAAAATAGTTTAAAAACACTTTTTTACAACACAATCAAAAAAGACTGCAACTGATCAAAACTCTTAACAGTAGGGCTGTGTGATATGGCAAAAACATTATTATTTTCACAGTAGCTCAGTTGGTAAGAGTGTTTTTCATCTGATCCGAAGATTGGCGGTTCGAATCCCGCGCTCGACATAAACATCACTGGTGAGCCGTCAGATCCACTGACCCACAGCTTGGCAGCTCCCACAGATGAATGCTGCTGTTGTGTCCTTGGCCAAGATACTTAACCTGCCTCGCCCCCAGTGTCTGCGTACACTGGTGTGTGAATGGGTGAGTGGTTCCTTGTTGTAAAGTGCTTTGAGTGCCTTGAAGGTGGAAAAGTGCGATATAAAAATGTGATCATTTACCATTGTGACCATTTGAGAGAAAAATCCCTCAATCGTCCAGGTAGAATCCATGGCAAGGGAGAAATTCAACTTGTCAACTGGACAAAGTTTATTTAGTCGAATACGTTTCGCTGCTCATCAAAGCTACTTCTTCAGTTCTGGTGAGAATGTGTCCACCAGCATCCTGAAGAATTGAAGAAGCAGCTTTGATGAGCTGTGAAATGTATTTGACCAAATAAACTTTTATCCAGTTGACAAGTTGAATTTCTCCTTTGCCATTGTGACCATTTGTTTAACCTCAAATTGGTCAAATATTTCCTTATTAAAAGCAAATTATGTCTTTCAGTTATAATTTCATGAACATAAATAAGGATCACAAAAATATTCCAATATATGTATTCTTCAAAGTCAAAACCACATGCTTTTGATGGACGACTGGCTCTGTAGACCTGTTCCAAAACTAAGTCACTCCATGCTTTTGCCTTTCTGTTGTGGTCCTTGTAAACTCCTATAATCCAAATAAAGAATTTGGTTAACTAAGTCACCATTGACCGTTTAATTAACTACAGGCCTAGAATAATCAAAAAAACACACACAGACAACCACTTGCTCATTGACCAGAGTCTCTAAATCTGTTCAGTAACAGGAGGAGAAGCCACAGTAACAGCGGCACTGGCAAACTCCACCCTGACATTGTAAGAGAGTTGGCCCGCAAAGCAGCACAGTTACAGGAATAGTTTCCATTTTAAGGAAAGCCAAAATTCAATTCATTTCAACTACTTAAATGATTTTCCTTTACCCAATTTTCAGTATTGTATGTTTTCATTGAGGTGGACGGGTGTAACTGGTGTTAGACTGGCTCCCCTTTATATCCCGCTTGCTCCTCCCAATGAGAAAAAAAGATCATAGAAAAATACATACAACAAGTTTGGACTTCCCTGATCAAGACCATTCAAAAACTGTTCTGGGAGGCCAAATTTATATGATTGATTTCTTTTCAAATAATATATAGTTTAATAGTTTTGATACTAGTTTTCATACTGATTTGCAACTGGATATCTTTTTTAACTAGTTCAAATATAAACATACAGTTGCTTTCGTCTCTTTTACCTTCCAGTGTAAAGATGCGGTCTCCCAGTGCGTCCACGATGTCGTTTAGAGCAGCTTCATCTGTCACATTGAAGAAGTATTTGTCGTCTGGATCACTGGCGATGTATTTGATCTCGCTGATAAAGGTCTCGGGGTCCTGCTGCCGACGGATGTAATGTCCCAGAACCTGAGAGACAAACAAACATGTTCTGTGGTCAATACATAAAGTCTTTTTCTTAAAATTTGTATTTGCTATGCTACATAAATCATTATCAACTACTACAATTTGTAAATAAAAAAAAGAAGGCAATTCCCATGTCAGACACAATATAATTATGTTTGGCCCTCAAGATCATATCAACTACGTATTAGAGCTGTCCCACCGGCTATAGAGACATTATTTATTTAACATTTTGTTATTATTTTATATTTTTCTTGTTCTGGATTCAATGTTTAAGCAAAACTATTATTAAACATTTATTTTAACCCTCTCCAGGCAGGCGTTGCAGATTTGCAACAACTAAATTCCAATTACCTACTTACTCCACATCCATATTTTATGAGATTTTTTTCTCAGGAGCCTTTTCTCCCTTCCATGCTGATAAACGTGGACGATGCAGACTGTGCAAGAATGGCTACGTGCAAACGGCCTGCCAGAAGTGCAAAATACTTTTTTTGTTTACAAAGGATAAAAAAGTCAGGATTGTATATTACTACCCCATATGATAATTTTCCCCAAATATCAGATTTTTCCTGACACTAAAAATCAATTTGAGCCTGAGAGGGTTAATAAGAAAAGGTTTAACATTACATATCTCAAAAGAAGAAAAAAACATGCAGATGTTGTTAAAATTTTTCAGTAAATATTTAGGAGTTGCCCATGACTCCCAGAGTTTATCACCCCTGTGTACAGGGAGTGCCTGACTTTCTACTGTACCATCTTACAAGCCACTAGGCATAAAAATGTTGCACGATTTGTGTGTGTGTGTTTTTGATATATATATATATTTTTTTTTTACACAAATATACCTCTTTGACACCCCATCATGTTATAATGGTGACCATCCAGTCATATTACACACTACTACAATTCTTATTTTTATAGATGAGATTTGTTTTGATAAAAACTAACCAAAACATAGCCAAAAGAGAGATAAAATATAGGGCAAGATGAATCGAATCCTATTATTAAGACATAAATCGGAAACCTAATTGCAATACTTGTGAACAAAATATGTAATTAGATATTTTCCCCAAATCACTCATCTCTACTGTGGTATTTCTGTATGTTTCTACATTCACACATTAACCTCAATCACAGTATCTCGTGTCAGAAAGAGAATGCTCCTATCTGGAACATTTTACACTAAATTTAGCATAAAACATAAAAGGAAAAATGAAAGCCACTTGGGGTTTGTCAATGAGGATTACAGGATCAGAGAAAAGCTGTTGACAGGACTGATCCAGAACACTCGGCGTGGCTGGATTGGTCGATAGCTTAACGCCCGCAGTTACATGAGTGAATTCCATAAGAGAAGGAAAAACATTCGGATCTCCCTCTGTGCTAAGGAAATCCTCTGTTTTCAAAGAGTAGGGTCTGGAGGGGAGTGAATATTTATATGTATCCACAGATCTTATACGGAGGGGGCTGGGACATTCCTATATGCCATTGTTTCTCAAACTGTGGTACATGTACTCCTGGTGGTGTGTGAGCGAGTGTTATTGATGATACTAAAGAAGAGACTTGATACTCAAAACCGATTCCGATACCGCAATATAATAAAAAAAAGTCTGTGTGCAGAAGTTTTTGGCTTCTTAGACACCCCTCTCACTTTCTTTTGCTCTTTTCTCTCACTCTCTTGCCTCTTTTCCTGTCTCTCTCTCTTTCTCTGTATCTCTTCCTCCCCTCTTTCTTTATCTCCTTCTCTTATTCCATTTATCTCACCTATCTCTCCCTCCCTAAGTCCCTTCTCTCTTTGTTCCTTTCAGTCAATCTATCTTTCGTCCTCTCTCTCTTCTTTTCTTTCATTGAGGACAGAGAAAGCGGGTGGGGGGGCTCTCTTTCTCTCTCCTCAATTTCACTCCGTCTCTCCCGCTCTCTCTTGTGATCCGTTTGCATAACTGAACAGTAGTAACTTGTCATCACCTTTACTTTTTCAGCGGAATAATTTCGATGTTATTGTTGTATTTGGCTGCATTGTTTGAAGCTGAACCCACAGGCTAAAAATCCGATTGGAGAGAAACGCTGTAGATAAGTCTGTTTTGAGTTTGTATTCTTTTGTGCGTTTGTTTTTTTTTCTTTTCTTTTTTTAAATATCGCTTAAAATGTGTATTAACTTTAAGTGAGTCATGGTTTTAAATGTCCTATATTATGCTAAATGTATTCTCGTGTTCTAAGCCATGAAAAAATGTTGTTACTTCAGGGTCGTTCCACCTCAATTCACCCCAAAAAAAATAGCTATTTGAACACTCACACTGTCCATTTGCAAAGAAAATTGGTAATGGGTAAATCATAGCCAAGAAAGCCAAAATCTCAAATTGTAGCATGATCGGCGTAACAGTTTCCGAGATATCGCAATTTCATTTTTTCACTTTTTTGCGTGGTTGCCGAATATTAAATTGCATTTACTCAGAAACTACTGGTCCGATATCAAAAACCAAGGTATTTCTGGAAAGGGGAAATCATAAGGAAATTCTAAGTCAACTTCTAGGTAAATTTGTGTGAAAATAAAAAAGAAAACCCCTCCAGATTTTTTATATGTTGTAGTAGACATATAGGGCTACATTTTATCTAGTGGAGTCATTGAGGTCGGGCATGTCCCTTATGGTCAATTTCAAGATCAAAATATACGTCAAAAGGTAATTCATCTCAAAAGTACTAAAATGCAATTTGATATCGGACCAGTAATTGCTGAGTAAATGCAATATGAAATTTGGCCAAAAAAAGCGCAATATATTGGAAACTGTTGGTCCAATCAAACTAAAACTTGAAATTTTGTCTTTTCTAGCTATGAGTTACCTATTTACCAAGTTTCATCAAAATTTGACAAAGTAGGGTTTAACTCATTGGGTGAACTGAGGTGGACTAACCACTCATCAAAAACAGACCTGGAGTTGTGTTTTGTTTCGTTCACACGTTTGAATAACCTTTTATTAGTTTGTCTACATTTTCAAAGATCAAAATACTACTTTCTGAGTTAACAGCTTTTACCTTTTGTTCAGTAGAGATCGGCAATTCCAGAGCTGAAATCACCCAAATAATTCTAGTGAAGGTGTATGGAGGACACAATGTGGAACAGAGAGTTTTCAGAAATATGAAGTGTAAATATGGAGGGTTTGTGTATTAAATGTGTGAATTAAACAAAATACAACTCCAGGTATGGTTCTGAGCAGACTTATATGACATCTGCTTATACAATATATCTGTACTGGGACAGATTTTACTCAAATACATGGATAAAGATCGAGTGTAGGAGCTAAGCACCTAAACATAACCTGAACTAATGTGTGTTAGTGTTATAAATATGAAAATGTACCAACTTTCTAACTAGCTGTCTGTTGTAATTTCAAGCCTTGGTTTCATATATTTACTTCCAGTCCAATTGCGTCTATTCATGCCACAACTTCCAAAGTAAAACAGAAGTTTGGGCGGCCGATGTTTTTGTTCTTGATGAGCTATTTTAGATTCAGTGGGACATTTGGCAATTACACGAGGTTATTTAAGGGGTGTGGTGGTAGCTCTATGTGGTCAACAAGGGGAGGTTTAAATGTATGAGAAACAAAATGTGTGCCAACTACAGCAAAGGTTTGTACGCAGCAAATATGAATATCTATTTTAGTTACTGCAACAGGAATTCCTTTACTTTACTATTTCTCATTATTTACCAGGTAGAACAATGAAGAACTTTCAGAAGAGTCTGTTTGATCTGAGGATAATTTACACATTGGACATGAATCATTTGGACTTTTAAGGCATTTCAGTCCTTTTTCCCCAAATATAGTATAGTATATAAGTATAAAATTCACTTAAAATAGGGCAAATATTCATACTTCCCTTATATAAAAATATATTTAAAAGTTAAATAAACATGTAGATAAAACTGTTTGGGGAAAGTTTTGCCAATAACTAGCTAAATAAAACATAATAGAATAAAAAAACAAACATAACTAATAAAGCCAACATAGATATTGACTGTAAATGCTATTTAAAGTAATTCTAGTGGATCCTAGTAGCCGTGTTGAGTCCACACTCACAGCGATGGCGTATCTGGTGATGTTTCGGCTGTTGCACTCCTCCAGGGCGTCGGGCAGTTCCTCGCCATCGTGAGACTCTCCATCGGTCACAACGATCATCACTTTAGTGGCTCCTTCACGGGCCCCTCGCTCTGCACTGAATGCCTCTGTGCTACAAGAAATAAGGATACAGATATTTTACTGTGCAGGCTAATCCTTTAACATGTTTATTCACTACAGAACAGAAACCTGCAGGAATGTTCATAGCCATTAAAAGGCAATAATTACAGATGTCATAATGAAATCAGAAGCATTTTGAATGGACAATTTTATTAGCAACAATAAATGTTATATGTACTCCTAAATGCTTTAGACCTATGAAAATAAATCATGTTTTAGGTCTCAGAGAGAAATGAAGCTGCTGATTTTTATTTTTTTTTTTTTAAAGGTGCACTTTGTAACTTTTTGGGTTTGAGGATCCACCAATCTTGTTTTGCCTGGAATGTTCCATTGGATTAGTCAGGCTGGCGCCACCTAGTGCCCCAGCTCAATTTCATTTCACTCCAGCGACTAGGTCAGGGATCGAAATACACTAGACAGTTTGCAAGAACCCTGGAAGTGTGAGTTCGGGCACCATCCGGTCAGTGAATACCCATATATTGTGTGTTGTCTGTGTTGTCAATGATTCCCTGAAGCTGGAGCAAAGAAAATGTTTGGTGAATTTTATCAAGGGGAAAGAGGTTATTGCCCTTCTTACTATGGGATTTAGAAAAAGCTTAATATACCAGTTAGCCCCATTTGTGGCACATTACATACGTCACGACCAAACAGCAGTGATTGGTTAAATGAAAAAAGTACCCGTCTACTGTCGAGCGAACTAATTCTAATGCTGTGAGGTCAGTCAGTTCCACGAAGTGAAACCGGCTGATGCATCAGGGTACCATTGGATGGCATTAAACCTATCTACAAGAGACAAGAAGGTGAGGGCACCAGTTCAGATCTGTGGAGAGGTGACTTTGCTCACAATAAGAATATTTTTGAAAATATTTCTTTTACATTAAAAACACATGTACTTGAATCAATGAAAGATAGATAACATCACTGCCTTTATGTGAATGTTCCAGACTCGGCAATGATAGAAACAATCTGATGATGGATCCTGTACCACAAAATTTACAGTGTACATTTAAATTAAAACTTTATAATTATGTATTTCACTTGTTTTTATTATGGGGTTTATTCATTTGTTCAAAATCACAATGTTTATTCTCACAATCACCACTGACGGTCACTAACACCATATTTGTCTTGTTGATTTTATAAACACGTCCAAACTAACTTTATTTACACTTCACACCGCACCAGAGCCAATAAATCACACTGGACTCTGGAATCACAATGAGCTGTAAGTGTTTAAACCATACAACAACATGTTAGTCACACATTAGCTGCCAGTTGCCTCTGATTGGTCACACTACTTCCACCGTGTGTCATCCTCTATCTTCACCACATCTGTGCATTCCCGTCCTCCAGAAACATGCGACTAAATGCCCGGGACAGCAGAGAGGGCCGCACCCAGTCCTCTGCCCAAAACCTGTTCCCTGTGTGGACCTGCTCGGAGCATTCAATAGGGTTGGTAAGCCTCAAACCCCACTCATACATACACACACATAGTTACAGCAGGGCCAGTCATTGCTTGTGAACTCAGTCATTTTCAGGCGTAACTCCAGCCTTTGCCTAAATATAACATTGTGGTCAGCCGCAAGAAACTCAGAGTTAAAAACAACCGTTTCCCCTCGGCCCATGCAGTCTGCAAATTACATAGGGTGCGAGGAAGGAGAGGCAAGAAGAGGAGAAATCAACATAAAGGAATGAGTGAAAATACAAGAAAGTACAATTAGTACTTTATTTTACAATGCCATGTGTTATTATATCTAAGTAATCCCTCTGTCGTCCCCATAGGTTCCATAGTGGTCCATATACTGGTACTAGTCTATGTATACGTGTGTGTTCTGATACAGCTCAAGATCATTCTAAAGCTATTCAGGAAAGGTTAATTTCTGTCCTGTGGATGTGATGTTTTTAGTATTGATACCTGCTCGTTAGGTGTGTAATGATATCCAAGTCTCACTATACAATATCGTCACGGTATGAACCTCACGGTACGATATTTATTGCGATATTGTGGGGAGGTTCACGATTAGGAATGTAACAATATACAAATCTCTTGGTACGATATTTTCACGATATACATCTCACAGTACGATATATATTGTAATATTTTGTAGAGGCTAATAAAACTGTTAATATGCTACTTTTTCCTCTTAAAATGTTTTGACAAGACTTAATCCAAAGAACTAAGACTTAAAAGTGCTTAGAACTGTTATTTCTTCTTGTAATCTACACTGAAATGGAGCAAAGGATCATGGTCTATGTAGTTCCCTCTATCTTTTTTTTTAGCTACTGCTGCACCATGACTCTTAATTTAAGCAAAGAGACTTGTAATTCGATATATTGTGATGGTCCACGATATTATTGTGAGAACTTTGACGATACGATATCATGATATTTTGGTTATTGTTACATCCCTACTGCTCATGAATAAATATTTAGTTTCAATACTAATTTTAATATTGATTAGTATCTGATTTTCTATACCTTTGACAACCCTAATATGCTATGTCTCTCCTCGCCCTCCATCCCCATCCCCAAGCTGATAAAGTTAATATATATATATGAATAAAAAAAACAAAAAAAACAAATTAATACAGAAAAAAAAAGAAATGTCAAGGAATGTCAGTTATGCAGAAAATAAATTTATCCTTGTAACTGAGTACAAAAAGTAAAAGCAATGTCTGCATCTAATTATGAAACATTTTATTTACTGCAAAATCAGAAAAAAATGTATATGCATGTCAGCTATAGAAAGTAATTATGTAGATTAAATACTTCCTCTTTTCATGGTTTGAAAATAAGGTACTCTGGTATTAATTAAAAATTCAGATTGATTAAGATTAAACAGAAGTTGAAGGCCTCTAACAATTTTGTGATCCAACAGAGACAATAAAGAACTGCAGCATTTGAAAAACAATTGGACAAGTCAGTCATAAATGAATAATTGTGGAAAGAGGGAAGCAGATAAAATGGTGTGTGAAAGAAGAAAAGGACAGATGAAAGACAAGAGAAAGTAAGTGCAGCTAATTGGGAAGCCTGGCTGTAGTTACAAGGCGTTTTTATGGAGTCACACCATGTGGTAATGACACAGTGCGGTCAGGAGCTGCAGTGCTGCGTGCGTGTCACCGGAGGGCATCAGACGGGCGGGGCAGGCCAGAGCAGTGGTTAATGCAAGTGGGAAGAGAACATAAAATAATCCAAAGACAGTCTGTTTATTCTGATACAGTTTGTTCATTTCTGATAGCTGAAGGATTGCTTTGAAGATAAAACTCAATTTTCTAGTTCTACATTTTTTTTAATACAGAATCATTTTAATTTTCTTTTATTTTTGTGAGGTTAATAAGATTACAGTACATTCACAGTTACACACACACACACACCACAAATCCAAATTAGGACTAAATTTGGGACTAAGTGTCTACGCCACGTCAAAGCCAGGTCTAGAACCGGATCAAACCAGGACATGTTCAAGTTTTATGAAGTCCAACAAATTTACATTTACACAGCATAACTTGAACTTCTGTTTAGGTTATACAGCTGCATTCCCACTTCCACACACACGTCAAAATTGGGACTAAAGTGGGACTAGCTGAGGACTAAAACAGGACCAAACCAGGCCTACATCAGGACTTAATTGTGCTCAAACCACGACAAGTATGAACGCACCCTCAAGCTTCATTTTTAGCTTCAATTTAGCTTTACTGGGTTAATACAGCTGCAGTCACACTCCATCACATCAAAATTAGGACCAAACTGGAACTCAGCTTTGGACTAAACCTGGAATGGACCAGGACCAAACCAAGTCAACACAAGGACTAAACTGGGATCAAACGAGGAACAAACCAGAACCAAAGTAGGGCAAGTATAAATCCGCCCTACACATTTACACAAAATAATCACACAATCTATGTAACTTTTTAAACAATTTTTTCTGTATTTTTAACTTTCATACAGTTTGCTTCACAGCAGAAAGACACAAGATTTGATTCCCGGACCGGGTGGAGTCTGTGAGTTCTCCCTGTGTCTGGGTGGGTTTCCTTTGGGTGCTCCGGTTTCCCCCATCAACCTAAAATGTGCAGAGAAGTCTAATCCTCCAGCTAGGTACTCACTGTATACTGCTTCTGGAGCTGTTTGTCCCAGTATTTGGGTCAAATACAGAGGACAAATTTTACTACAGGGACAATAAAGTATACCACCCTTAACCTTGAGCTACAAAGCGTTGTACTCGTAAACCAGCACGTCTAATATGATTTAGTGGGCGCCCTTTGCTGTGTAGAGGATATAATAAGCTTGGGGTTAGTTAGGGTTGGGTTCAAAGGTCACACATGCTGCGAAAAGTGATAACAGTGGTCAGGGGGTCAGCACATGAATGCAGTTTGAAGTAGTCAGCTCTTTTCAGAATAGAAATGGGGCGTTTGAGCGTAGCGTATACTTGGGTTTGGATACTTGAGGATGTACTGTACAGAGGAGAGGGTATTTTCACAGCTGTGGCAGGAGGACTTGGCTGACCCAGCGGCACCAGGCCATGCCACACCTGGAGCAGTGCAAACTCAGCAGCGCTACCCACACCAATCTGTTTTTCTACTGCCCCTTCCCATCTGTGGGTTCTGCAAGGCCAGCTATCTACCATTACGCATAGTTTGGTCACGATACTAAGATGGAAATACTAGGAAAAAGCTTGACAATCAATCAATCAATCAATCAATACTTATATTTACTTATCACGCCTGTGGAAAAGCACTAGGGATCAGGCCAAATACTGATATTAATACTAATTATTAATAAATACTAATAATTAATACTAATATTTGAAAACCCAAATTAACCGATAGAATAGGGACAGAAAATGGCCTTTTCCCCAAAAAACACACTAAAGTTATTACAAAATGGTAAGGACGTAACAACAACCAAAATATCATGATATCGTATCGTCAAAGTTCTCACAATAATATCATGGACCACCACAATATATCGAATTACAAGTCACTTTGCTTAAATTAAGAGTCATGGTGCAGCAATAGCTAAAAAAAAGACAGAGAGAACTACAGAGACCATGATCCTTTGCTCCATTTCAGTGAAGACTACATGAAGAAATAACAGTTCTAAGCACTTTTAAGTCTGCGTTCTTTGGATTAAGTCTTGTCAAGGCATTTTAAGAGGGAAAAGTAGTATATTAACAGTTTTAGCTGTTTAGTCTCCACAAAATATCGCAATAAATATCGTAGTGTGAGATGTATATCGTGAAAATATCGTACTGACAGATTTGGATATTGTTATATCCCTAATCGCGAGCCTCTCCACCATATTGTGAGCTTTCCCACGATATCATAATAAATATCGTACCGTGAGGTTCATACCATGACGATATCGTATCGTGAGATTTGGATATCGGTACAGCCCTACAAAATGGATCCAATTATGTTATGCAACTTAAATTTACACTTCAAATAACTACTGAACAGCTTTGAATGAATATTGGTTCAAATATTATGAGACATTCTAGGCCAAAATCAACCTGTAAATAATCTTGTTACATCAAATTAAAAGCCCACCCAGGAAATCAGATGAAGCGATACCCGATCCAGCAAAATTTCATGGATCAGTGTGATACACAATACCAGTATCGGTATTGGCGCATCCCCACAATAAATATGCATTTTTTTCAGATTTCAGCAATAAAAATACATGTAATTGAATAAATACAAGATAAATAAGACTCTCCAGCTGCTTTGTCATCTATTTTAAAATGAGCAAATCAGAGTTAAGTTTGTAAAAATTGGGGATTGCAAGCAGTTGTTGTGACTGTGGCAAAATCCAAAAGGAAAGATTAGTTACTGTGGACACTTTGACAAAAATGTGGATTTCCTGTCACAATGTTTTAACACCACTAAAACCTTTTTACTGAATTTTCCAGTCAGAGCTTTTCAACTGCCCTTTTAACGCTCCCCCTCGCCTTTAAATCCACCACAAAACAGGAACTATCCCATTACCTGAAGCATTTGTAACTTTACCGCGTGCAGGACTGGGGCGAGTTACTGGGTAGCCTACACTGTTTAATAAAGCAGGAATTTTATTTTGAAAAGAAATGCATACTTTAAGGCAAAGAGCTTAAGTTAATTCTGTAAAGACATTTGTGTAGACTCAAATTACCAGCCTAAAATCTGGGTCTTAGATTCTATTAAATAGGTAACAAAAAGACCAGGTTTTAAAAGGGATATTATTGGAATTATACTTAAATTCAATGTACACTTTAGGTTCACATCAGGAGGTCATTTACGGGTAATAGCATTGAATTTCCCCCAAAAAGTTACTATTTTTTCCCCTTCATTGCCCTTGGGTTATGGTCTAAACTAACAAAGAACACTATGAGAAATATATAATTACACATAGTAAAGACTTGTGCATAAAATATAACTGTTGCTCCAGTGTTGTCCAAATACTACAAAATTAACTTGGTGGTCAGACAGTCATGAAACTCATAACATTGGTGCAGGTTTGATTGACAGCTCACCAGGCCATGTGGATGGCATATGCGGTGCGCGTCTCTCGTCCCTCCTGGCGGCTGATGTTTTTGGCAGCCTCCACCACCTCCTGTGTAGTCTGGTAGTCCTTCAGTGACCACTCGTGAAGAGCCACCTCGCCGTACTGCAGGATCCCCACCTGAAATTAAAGGGATGATTTGCAGGTGACACTGGGCTTTGAAGTAAACTTTCCGTTGGAGGTCAGATTTCCACGGTTCAAGGTTTGGTGCTTTCTAAGTAATGATTACAGCTGCAGTAGTAGCAAGAAGCAGATTTTTGAGTTTGTGTCAAAATGAATACTGGACACGGCTGAACCCTCTGTGCATTACCGTTTCTGGAAAAAAGGGTGAAGTAACATCTGGGCTGGGGGTGTAATGAACGAGGGGAAAAAAGGGAATTTTCAGAGCTATAGCACATCCAATGGAGAACAATAAAGATTACTTGACCATTAATAACTGAGGGAAAGCCAATATAGCATGATTAAAAGGTCTTTAAAATGATTACTATTATTGCTATTATTACTATTATTATTATTAAATATTAGTATTAGTATTTTGCTTTAAAGATTGCACTACGTAACTTTTTCTTGTGGAATTTCTGCCACCTGCTTGTCTCCATGGAGATGTTGCTTAGCCTCAAATGTTCAACACTATTATAAATCTTGCGTTTATTCAGTTGCAGGTGTTTTTATTTCTCAAAAATTCCTGGACTCTTACTGAGCTTGGTTACTTAAGCTTAAGTCTCAATCAAAACATTTTAATGCCATAATATGGAACATTCCAGCTTCTCCATGGAGACAAGCAAAGGATATATGCACCTTTCAACAGAGTATTTTCATAAACCTTTGACTCCAAAATGCAAAGATGTACGTATCCAATTGGTACCATTAGAAAATCCTTTTTAAAAAGTAAATTCATAAGCTACAGATTGAGAAGATTTTTGTGTGAAAGCCAACACCATTGTAATTTAGCAGCTAAAAAAAGTCTGCCACATCATGACTGAAACAAAAGAAAGGCTTAATTACAGCCTCTACATGGAAAACTACTGCATTACTCTATGTACAGTATGTTTAGTATGTGGGGCGGACGGTCCCTTTAAGAAGTTCTGGTCCAGTTCTCAAAGCAAACAGCACTCGGGGAATGTTTGAATTCATTCAAAAACCAAAAGTATTTCCTCTTCACCTCATGTTGCCTGTTGCCCCCCTGCATCACGTCCAGACCTTCACTGGTGCTGTAATCCCAGAAAAACTTCACTCCTCTTCCAGCGAACATGGTCTTTGCACATTACATATTATTGTTATGTCCTCGCCAAACCATCGCTCTGCGCTGCTGTTTTACTTTATTATGTTAGCAATTACTTTTATTGTTTTTATTGGACATTATAACCAAACATAAAGAATGCACCAGATTAATGGACACCAGAATAGACACTAAAGTACTATAGTTAATTTTAGATTCACATAAACATCACAAACATTAATGTGGGCATAATATAAATAACACTGTGGTTAACTTTCTTGCTTCTACAACAGATTCACCAACACTGATCCTGATTCTGATATTGGTGCTTGGGTTTTGAGACTAAAATTTAAATTAATTAAAATAAAGACTACCCAGTTATTTTGTATATGGAGAATACTTAAGTTTGTGGCATTGTTTTAATAATTATTATGGCTCAGAATTAGCATTGTAATAAGCATTGAGACACCAACATATTTCATTATAAACACAAGTGTCCTCCACTGAAGTATGTATTTTATTTGTGCACTTTTTATCATGTTGTTAGTCACATCCTCCGGAAGCTTCCTGTTCACTGCCTTATCTATGTTTATTAATTTTAACATGATTCTGTAAAAGCCTCATAGACGCTGTTGTGCACAGAGCTGCTCATGTATCGAAAGTGCACTGTATCGATACATGTATTGTATCATGTCCAAAGTCGAGTTAAAGTAATCGTATTGGCAAATTCAAAATGATAACCGACTGTTAATTATTTATTTTTTGGTAAGTAATGACAGAAAAGCTGGATAGATTTAATGGCATACTGTGGAACACTGAAGTTAAAAACATAACATACAAACAGAAGAGGCTGATGGCAGACTCCCAACATGAAAAATTACACAGAGCACCTTTAAGAGCGTTGCCTTTACTTACCTGCATTTGGTCGGGGCTGATGTGAAATTTGCTGAGGATGTTGCTGAGGAAGTTCTGGACCTCGTACCAGGGGTAGATACTGTTGGACCCATCCAAAACAATCACTATGTCCATGTACGTGGAGCATCCTGCCACATGTGAACAGACTGTTTGCACAAAAGTACACATGTCCCTGGTGTCAAGTATTGAGTGATGAATTTGCATTTACTTTGTGCAGTCGGGGCGATGGTCTCTCGGGGCTGAAGGTCGTCGCTGACAGAGGCGCAGATGCCAGTGCTGAACATGGATGTGCCACATTCCTGGGACCACAGCGGGGCACACGCCTGCACAGAACAAATACTCACTGATTTAACTGGTTTAGATTTCATAAACTTGACTTCACTGTGTCCCCAGATACAAAGTAGACATGTTTTAACTGTGGCCCAAGATACAAAGCAGACATGTTCAATAAATCATGTTTTGTCATTCTGATTTATTCTTAATTACAAAAACATCGGACATGATGACAAGACAATTGTACAGTCAGAAAGCAGAATGACCCTTACATGAGTCTTCTATGCTGAAATCCAGTTGGTTTAAACCTAAAATCACATTCTCTGATCTACCTAAACCTACTTTTTTGAGCTCTTGTTCGCATTAGTTATATTGAAACCAGACACTCCTTTGAACATTTATCAATACTGAAAAAACAGGGCCAAGTTAGACATTTCCTGGAAAGTTTTAAAATGGCCTTAAACTTTATTGAAAGTAGTTTTTAATAATGTGGTAGCAAATTTGTATTGAGCCTTATTGTATCAAAATCAAGTTTAAAAGTGGTATTCTGACGACACTGGTGCTTTTTATTCACACAGTTATTTTTAAAAGAAAAGAACCAGTGGAAGAATAATTGAAAACACATTTTTATCAGTCAATTAAAGTTTTAAATGTGGTTCAGTACACCATGATGTTCTCAAAGTAACAAAGATTGCAAAGACAAAGAAAAACATTGCGTTAATTCATTCTATTTACACTTGGGACAGGAGCAGTAGGTGGTTGGTTGTTATCGAAAGCTCCAACACATAGACAAGTGCGGCTGCTAACCAGAATATAAACACATAAAAACTGCAGACTGGAGACAAAAGGCAAACAAGAACTGAGAGCGAAAAAGTCATGGAAACTCTACAATAGTGTGGTTTTGAGGGACAGAAAAATGAGGGAGCAACGGCGAGAGAGTGAGGCTATTGTTGACATGCTGGCAGTAACTGTTGTCATGAGTGGTTTAGCAGAACTGGAACGCCAGACCAGAAAAGCAATTTAAATCAGATTGTTTCTATAGATGGAAGGAGAGAAAAAGGGGGAGGGTCGAGCGTATTTTAGTCTTCAAAGCATTTCGTTTGGCACTAAAATAAGGCTGCTGTGTGGTGGGTTGGCCTGTATGTTAAAAGTGGCATATGTAGACAAAAGAGGTTCAGGGGGTAAATATTCAATGGACAGTGGAAAAGAAACATCTTGGTTTTTCTAGTCCTGTCATTACATTGTCCTACTTATGTATTTTTTTCAGAATTGCATCTTGTTCAAATGAGTATCTACTTTCAAAAGTTTTAGTATTGGTCCATAAAAAACATCTATTGCGGTGGCTGTATTAGAGATGGATGACATTTTGGTTACAGTACCAATATCAGGTCATATCAATATTTTTCAGTATTAATTTTTTGTGTGCTGCCACATATAATGTTGTTTTTCTCTAAAACTCCTTCTTCAGGGCTGGACATAGTTAACTCAGAGTAGTATAAATCCCAGTCTCTCAATCCATCCCCATCAAACTGAAAATGGCTTCTGGATTAGAGTTGAAACGTCTTAATTGCAAAGACAGTGTCCAGATGACCACGGCTGAAACCTTCTGTACATGGGTAACGTGTGAATAGAAGAGAAACATGTAACAAATTATTTAATATTCCAGATAAATACATTTTAGTCATGAGCTCTGGGAAATGACCGAGATCATGGATGCAAGCAGTCAAAATGAGTTTCCCCCGCACGGTGGCTGGGCGCTTCCTTAGAGACAGGGTGAGGAGCTCAGTCACATGGGAGCAGCTCAGAATAGAGCTGCTGCTCCTCCACGACGAGAGGAGCCAGCTGAAGTGGCTCGGGTATCTGTTCTGGATGCCTCCTGGGTGCCTCCCTCAGGAGGTGTTTCGGGCATGTCCCACCGGGAGGAGGGCCTGGGAAAGACCCAGGACACTCTGGGGGGACTATGTCTCTCAGCTGGCCTGGGAACACCTCTGGGGTGAGGGAAGTCTGGAAGTCCTTGCTTAGACTGCTGCCTCCACGACCCAGCCCGGGACAAACAGAAGAAAATGGATGGATGGAAATACATTTTGTTTTTATTGCAAAAGTGAAAAGTTATTTTGTGATCTTTTCAACTTAAGATCAATTTCTGGGCTTAGCTATTGATTCTTTGCCTATGATCTGGAATACACACTTTTTCAATACTTTACAAAGATGCGAGTCTGGTCACTGGTGAATCCCCTTGAGTCACAGGCTGCTGAAAAACATCACATCTCATTTCTGCAGAATCAATGAGCAGAGCACTAAATTCCTGTGTGACCAATGAGCTTCATTGTTTCACATGCATCACTGAAAAATTTCCATGATAACATTTGATTGGGCTTGAGATGCGACTGAGGACATAGGGACCAGACTGATAAACATCTGTATAAAAATTACAGAGCGATTCCAGTCTGGGATGAGAGATATCAGTCTGGATGAGTAGCATATATAGACAAAAGAGGGTTAGGGGGTGAATATTCAATGGACAGTGAAAACATTTAGGTTTTTCTAGTCCTGTCATTAAGGATAGACAGACAGGCCAGAGGAAAAGGATGAGAGAAAGGACAGAGGAGGGAGGGAGGGAGAAGAGGGAGAAATGTAACTGAGGTGCAATGGCTTTTTGTAGGTCTGTCATTAACAAAAGGCCTGAGACGAATTCCAGTCCTGTTATAGACCTGACCACTGGGATAAAGATAAACACATTCAAAACTGTGCCCAGCTCCACACCCAACACAGCAGGCACAATCTGGCACGCATTACACGCATCACAATATGAGATTTAGTCCACTGTAATTAAAGAGGAAATCAATGTACTGGAGTTGTGTCTCTGGGCAATACACTTCACCTTGTTTATGTGCGGCATTAATGTGAGAATTAGAATTAGACATATCAAGATAATTTGTGATTATTTAGCTTAAAAATTATAATTATGAGAATTTTACATGCAAAAATAAATTAGTAATTTAAACTGAATAAATACTAACTGTAATATAAATAAATATATTGTTGATCTCTCTGTTTATGTCACATTAACAACTTTTTCATTCAGAAACTTTGACTTTATAAAGCTGAAGAGTGGTATCTATCTATCATCTATTAGACAGAACAAGTAAAAGAAAAAATACTATTCTTGATTGTAAAATTATATAAGAATTTGAGAGCTAAAATGATGGGATTGAGTCTGGAAATATTATAAAGACACAGAGAAACACTTCTTTGATTGCCACTTAATAACATCACAAGGTGCAAATGATCTTTTTGAGCTCAAACGAGGGACATTGGGAGGTCACAAATGAAATAAAACAAAACCTAATTAACTACAGATATTTTTTGATGGGAGAACAACATTTTAACACGGTTAAAAGTTCAAAAAGTCAAAGAGGAGACTGATAATAAAAGACCTTTAATATCATTTTTAGTTTTAGTTGATTTCAAAAAGCTGAATTAAGACCACGACATTATTTTCTTACCAGGAAGCCGTCGGGTGAGTCCGGTGTCAGGGTCATTCCCAAGTGCGAATTCCTCAGATTCTTAGAGACATTTTGAAGAGCACTTTCACCTGGAACCAGTACCACAAAACACAGAGTCAGATGTAATATGACAGTGAGGTTATCATACTGGCCTGTCAGCAACTCACTTAGAGAAAACATAATGGATACAGTACTATAATTTCACACAATCTACTGAGTACTGAAATCGCATCTGGGCCAGAAGATATATTTATGTTTACTGGATGAGACTGGATGAGGAAAAAAAAAGTCTTTTACTAAATTTTAAATCAACAAACAAGCACATAGTTTCTCAGAGAAGTCATGTGATGTTTTAAATGCAAAAAATCAAATACATTAATTTCAAGGAAGGCCTAATGCGGATTCTTAGAAATGGACACACAGATCCAAATGTATCCTTGCTATTCTAATTCTTCCTCTCAACATTAAAATAAATCTGATTCATAACACATGGCAGCTTTTTCCTGTTACTAACTTACCTAAATAGACTTTGCTGCAGTTTGAATTCCTCTCTTCTCCCACGATACATTTGTACACATCTCCTTTTCTGTTGTTGGGTGGACCGTCCCAGGGGGCTCCGACAAGCATTCTACAGCAAAATAACAATAATTCATTCAATGTTAAGTTTTTGTGGTGAAAAGAGTGGCTACAGTTTTTCTCCAACTCACGATTTCTCTCCGTCTGCTTCATGTTGTAAAACTGAAAAGCCGAACAGAGCGTCTTCTGGTCCCGAGAAAATGCGAGGATTCTTTACGTCAATGTTGAAACAGTGGCACAACTCTGGAAAAAAGCAACAAGAAACTCTTAAAATACACTTTATAATGCAGTTCATATTAGTGTTTTCACTACATTTTTAACTAAATTTCACTACAGGGTTGTAATCGACTATATAAAATTCTTGGTTGGCTTAAGATGACCAGTCATCCCCAAAACTCACTCCTTGCATTCTTCTTTCAACTGTGCTCCATATAAATTCTTATAATTCAATTAAATAATTAGACATTGAGACATTAGAAATTGACAAATTAATTGACTAAACAACTAAAGGTCTTTGATAAGGTAAAGGATTGATGTTAATTTCGATACTACAAGGATAACAAAAACAAAAATGCAATAATGTTTCCATGTGGTCTTATATTAGTTTTGATATAAATAGGATAAGACCATTCTAAAACAACCCAGGAAAGGTCCAACTTTGTCCTATTTAGGTGAATTCTTTGAGTATCGTTACTTTATTTAATTCATAGACATATAAGACATATAATAATTTGTGTTTCATTTATTTTAAACCCAAGTCCATATAAGTTCTTGTCCACATTCATAAATCAGTATTTTATCCTCGGAAATACGTAATGCAAATAATGAACCAGGGACACAACTGGTATATAACACTCAACACACAGGTTTTCAGTGCTGAGAAAAAACACTGAGGACCCCTCCATCCCTGCATCACTTTTCACTCAAACAATACCACACCCCACAGGTCCACAAAAACATCTACTCTGACATTTTTCGTTCCCAGGGCAATATTTCTCCTTGACAGCACAAAATAGCCAAGTGTTTGTTTATTTTATATTGGGTTTTTTGTTTTAATGACATTTTCCTGAATGGGATGTAAAATGTCTGGTGGTGGGTGGTATGTCTGTGTCTGCTTGAATCAAAAAGACTGTTTTTACTTGGGAGTAAAATGAGGAACTCTTACTGGAAATACCCAGACAGGAAAAACATTGATGTTTAACCTGAGTCAAACCTGAGTTATATTTCTCTGGTGGGTCTGTTACAATCAGAACTGTGTGAGTGACTAAGCCATACTGAAAACATAATTGTACCTTTAATCATGTCTGTGCGAACAGCAGATGTTCACGCAACTAAAATTACAAACTTTTGTGATACTACGGAAAAAGCTTGATACGTGATACAGATATAGATACCACAAAACAGCGACCTTAAAATTGGATGTAATTTGCAACACAAAACAGCAGTTTCTAGGGGTGGAACGATATCCAAGTCTCACAATACGATATTGTCACGGTACGATATTTATTGCAATATTGTGGGAAAGCTCATGATATGGTGGGGAGGCTCACGATTAGGGATGTAACAATATCTAAATCTTTCGGTACAATATTTTGACGATATACATCTCATAGTACGATATTTATTGAGATATTTTGTGGAGGTTAACAAAATTGAATATACTACTTTTTTCTCTTAAATACCTTGACAAGACTTGATCCAAAGAACGAAGACTTAAAAGTGCTTAGAACTGTTATTTGTTCATATAGTCTACACTGAAATGGAGCAAAGGATCATGGTCTATGTAGTTCCCTCTGTCTTTTTTTAGCTATTGCTGCACCATAACTCTTAATTTAAGCAAAGAGACTTGTAATTCGATATATTGTGATGGTCCACGATATTATTGTGAGAACTTCGATGATAAGATATCACAATATTTCGGTTATTGTTACATCCCTAGAAGTTTCTTGAATATCACCATATGGTTTTATCCGCTCATACAGTGTTATATGTTTTATCTGTGCTTTTGTCAATAATGACACTTGCTCAAATGAGTTTCATGCTAGTTCCGGTATCAAATCACCAATTAGTAACTGGGTACTGATTTTTTTTGACAACCGTAGCTGGTACTGTCATTGGTCTAGTTTCTGCTTAATGTGAATAGGCCAAGTAATTGCCCAGACATTACAGAGATATTAAAATAACTGCAAATTCTACCATTTTCTGACTTTCCCTTTCAGCTCATTTCCAAATTAAAGACTCTTGGAAATGTTATGAACTCACATGAACATAACATATTCACAATAACAACAACACAGGCAAAACATCATGATTTTCTCTGGCCCTGGGAGAAGGCAAGTGGTGAAAATATGGATAAATGCTGAGCAGAGCGAGGGGGGCAGGGGAGGGAGGGTGTGGGTTAAAAAAACGATGGAGTATAGTGAGCGCCCTGTAATGACACACAGACCTGCCTTCATACAGACACAGGGACGCAGAGGAGAGACAGTTAAACAGAGATGGAAGTGACTGTAAACCATACGGCTATTGCACAAACAGCCTACAGTGGCCCATTTGTAGTGAGTGAATACTTTGAGTTCACACAGAGCTGCGGCCGAACCCCAAAATCAAACATCCAAAACACAAGTACAGTTATGCCACAGTTTGAAAAATTATTATGATAGCTGTTTTAGTTTTTCATACAGCAAAACCCTTTTCTCCTGTTTACTCCAAAGGGTTTCAAATTATGCTCATGACTTACAATGGATTTATTTGCGTTTGTTAAATTGCATGGTCGGTTTGAATTAAAGGGCATATATTATAGGTATAAAAATATACCTGGAGTTATGTTTAACACACGAACCCTGTATATTTAGGCTGTGTTTTTCTCTCAAACATAAAACATTTGTTCCACCTCATATCATGTGGTAATACAGTGTGTGTTTTTAAAGTCCATACACTCTCAGAAACATTTGCATAATTTCAGTCCTAGAATTGCCCTGAATGAAAAATAAAAGCTGTTAAACTATTGCTTTATCACATCAGAAGGTGGAACAGAGCACTCTGAACTTTGGAGATGTAGACAGACTTAAAATAAAGATTTACTCAAACATGTGTGAATGAAACAAAACACAAATCCAGGTCTGTTTTTGATGAGGTAAAAACATTATAACAAGACTTAAAGCTCAGAGTCAATTTTGCACAACATAGGACCTTTAATAGATTTACCTTCTGAACATATTTGAAGAATTCCTGATGTTTTAAGAAATAGACACTAAATACTGATTATGAAATGTGCAGTAGGTCAGTGCAGTTCGTGTAATACTGGTTGTATGAAAGTTCCATGCACTCTTCTGTCCTCCTATGGATTATTTCTTGTTCAGTGGCAATGATGTAGTCCACTTTTAGACCTGCTGTAACCCTAGATTAGACTGGGAATAGTTTTGATCTGGTGGTACTTGGCCATAGAATGAAATGCAATAGTGATCTGATCCTGTCACTATGGGGCAATTAGTTCTATCACAATTTGGTGCTTTTCTGTGCTTCATGTCTGATTTCTACTGTTCATATTGTCTACATACAACATCCTAGTGGTCAGCCTTTGTCTTGGTCTGAATGAGTGACAGATGGATTTAACCAATCACAGTGAAGTTTACATTCAGAAGAAGCAGATTTAGTGTAGATTTAAATCAGACCTACTGGCTACCTTGTTATAGTTGTTATTAGGGATGTAACGATCTTCAAATCTCTCGCTACGATATTATCACGATGTACATCTCACGGTACGATACTTACTGTGATATTTTGTGGAGGTTAACACAATTGTGAATATGCGACTTTTTCCTTTTAAAATGTCATGATAAGCCTTTGATATTGTTATAATACAAAGAATTAAGATTTTAAAGTGCTTAATAACGGTAATTTCTTTATGTAGTCTGCACAGAAACAGCAAAAGATCATGGTTTATGTAGTTCCCTCAGTTTTTTTAGCTATTACTGCAGCACAAAAATTAATTTAAGCAAAGAGACTTGTGATTCAATAGATTGTGATATGATATGATCTCATGATATTTCAGTTAGTGTTACATCCCTAGTAGTTATAGTTGTTTTTAGAGTGATTCATGCAGGTTTGAGTATATTTTCAAGACACCATCTTGCCTAGCAATCATCAGCAATGTCATATGCCAACTGCTCTGAACTTACTTTGTTCTTCTATTTTATTTTCTTGATCTATAATACAGGTGGGATCCGTCTGTGTCATGTAGTCATTCTGACACAAATGAAAAACAAATCCACTACTTGCTATCATGATCTGCAGCTGTCCTTAGGAGGGGCCGACAGCTACATGGCTCTTGAACATAATGATCCACAGACCACGGGTGTCATAGATTATATCTGTATAGCAGGCTGTTCCTTAAGAGGTAATAATACTTTTAACTGGGATTGTGGTCATGGCTTGATCACAATTTCATATTACAAGAAGTTTTTATATGGATGTACTGCCATGTATTCCCCTAAAGTACCACTGAGTTTTGATATAATAGTATATGAAAGTAATTTGTGTTTAAAATATTCAACTTGAGGCATGTCATAGTTCTGACTGTACATAGCTGCTCTTGCACTTGTACAGAGATCCCACAAATGCACAATGAGGTCCACAGACATGTCAGGCCAATCAGAGAAACGAAACTGGATACAGCGCTGGCTCTGCTCCACTCATGCACTGTCCATAACCAACACCAACGGGACTATAGCATGAACAATAAAGTACTGGGGAATATGTCAGCTAAGATGAATGAAACAAAACACAACTCCAGCTATGTTTTTGATGAGATAATGACGTGATACGAAATTGAGTATTTGCTGATAACCGATATCAACCGATAGTGGAGAACTAGTCCACTGAGGTTCATTTGCTCTTCCGATAATTTATATTAGGTTATTTTTTTGTTTTCATATCTGACAGTTTCGACTGCTCACTAGCAGTAACCCTCAGAGTGGTCACGTGATGTTGCTGTGACATGTCCGGTCAGCTGATTTAAACAGGTTTTGGCGCAGTCTTCCTATTGGTGGAGGCAGAACGACAGCGCCACCTGCAGTCCGACTTCCTCAGGACTGTATCCCAGGTGTGTGAGAGTAAAAAGGCCCTGTCGTCCCGGTTTATAGTCCCGTGGGCACGTTTTCGTATTTCAACTGCCTCTTTAATCCAGCGACGGTGTTTGTTTTCCTCTGTCCCAGTGGTGTTTGCTCCGTCCCAGTCCATGATGT